AGACCATCGATTAAAACTTTTGGTGGAATGCTAGGGTATAAATTTTTGACATAAAGAGAAATCAACATCTCACTCACTGGAATGTCAATATTCTTTAAGTCACTGGTCAACTCTACTGAATTTTTGGTAGAATAAATGCTCCGAAAGCCACTTTGATTTCCAAAAGCTAGGTTAACCCATGAAGCTAGATTGTAATAAGGTGATCAAGTCTTTATGTATCTTAGCAAGCCCAAAAAATGAAGGTGTTTTGGGATTTGTAGGCTATAATCTTTCTTTATAAGTTTTGAATATTTCAAGTGTTAATAAAGCCCGATCTAAATCCTGTTAAAGAAAGAATTACTTGGTGTTTGTCACATCACATATAATACTAATCAACCTCTAATGGAAAATTTGCTTCTCTATAATTAAATTTAATGGGGATTGAACGATTTCATTAAAATTATACAAAATCTAGCTTGAATTGCTTGAAGTCGTTTATATTTTTGTAACCACAAAAAACTTCACGAAAGAAGCAAAGTGAGAGTTTTCTTTTAAGAGTGTCCAGGTCGTAATTTTTGTTATTCCGCACACCGGTGACCGGTGGAAGTAAATGTAACGTATTCCTCCTACTCACTTATCCTCGTACGCGTACTTTATGGATTCTTTTGTTTCCATCTAAATCCCCCAGCTTCGAAGCGTAATACTAAAAAATGGCGACGTATTAATTCGCGTCGCGCGACTTTTTCGTGGGGTAATTTCCGAACGCTGCCGCTTTTTATTAGCGCATAAATCAAGCAGGAAGTTCCGCCGCCGCCAGGTGGGGGCGGATAAGTTTGACGGTGAGAAAGCGGCCCCCTTTTTTTGTCACAGGCCGAGACCCTTTGACTTATATAAGTAAAAATAATGAGCCCCCGCCGTGGCCCGTCAAAAACGGACGATCTACGGTGTGCTTAACTGAAGAAAATTTAAATTAACAGAACGTAATCATCTCACCCGCCTGTGAATTGCAAGTTGCACTAATTTATGGGTCAGAGAAGAAGCAAGTGGTTTTACAAACGACGCTTTTGTATTGTATTTACTTTGGTAACCGGTAATCAATTTTATGTGTCGACGATGGGCGAGTGCCCAATAAAAGTAAGAAGAAGAAGTTCTATCTGTGTTTTTAACTTCTCATTTGGGACACTCAAGTATAGTATTGCATTGTATTATCGAAGGTTAGATTGTTAATAATTTTGACTCCTTAATATACGTTTTTGAGTCAATTGTTAGTTAAAATATCACGAAGATTCATAAAAAGATAGTTTACGCTATTTGGAGTTGGAACAAGAGTATCGCAGAATCACAGACTCAACACTCAATCCTAGAAACGACACTGTACCACTAGTTGCGATCATTGCCTAAGCAGATATTAAAATTACCACATTGTTTCTGATAGCTATAAAACCTTACAGTTCGGGTTTTGTCTGCATTGAAATATAGACAAATTTTTCCATACCATGGCATCAATCTTTCGAGTACCCGACGGCACTCCTCTGAGAAGTGATCATCATCATCATCATGTGCTTACATCACAAAAAACGTATGAAGTAAAATTTTCAATATACAATTTACATAAAATATATAGAGTAGAGATCCCAAAACCGAACGTTGACGGACACCCATCTCAATGTGTTCACTAGCGGAATTTACACTTTCCCTGTTGATTGGCTATAAAAATATGACACGTATCTGCAAAAGACATTAACGACTCTAAGAAAGCACACTCAAAATCTTAAAAAAAAACTATTTGGCACAAGTCAATTTCTTTTTGGTCACGATACTCTTTTTATTATCATGATCATTAACACCCTTAATAATACTCGGACCAATCTTGTTCTTATCCAACTAAATGGCTTGGAGTCACTGATGTTTCCAATAATCCGGGTTGTTGAACAAACATTCGACTTGGTCAGTCGTTTCGAAATACTTCAATCTCTATCAAAACCGATCAGGACTTTTCTATTACCAAATAAAAGTCAACATCCTAGTTCACAAAGCGTATTAACAGATTTACGAATTAAAATAACCCTGCCCGTGGCTTCTTAGCAGCGAATCACCTACCTATGTGTATTCTTTGGTTACCATTGACCACGGAATATCACTTGAACAGTACACAGATAGTAAAAACAGCGATTTATAAACCAACGGGAAATTATGCATTTCATTTGTTTTCTAAGTGGTTGGCTGTCAAAATTGACAGATGGAGATGTCCCATTTCTGCAGTAATATAAAACGCAAGGCATTTATGTAGACTTTTGAGACAGTACGTAGCACGATCCTGAAGCCCACTTGTTCTTTGGTCCGCTGCCTGATTTATTCAAAAGGCATGAAAAATATCTCCAGTGCCTTGTGAAAGGATATTTTCGAAAACTGGCATCGTCGCTAGCTCCAGCAGAATCAGACTTTTAACAGAAACGTAAAACTACAAACGGCAAAATGTTGCGAAACTGTGATTACAATTCGCGTACCCACGTCTAGCGAAAGAGGGATGATTTATAGCGTTTCGCGGCGGCTGTATCTCGGTCGCAGGCGGCTATGAAAGTTTTCCAAACCCGCGTCGTCGAGTTGTACCCCGACTAGATAAAAGGCGATTCTATCGGCCAACGTTGTTTCATCCTTTGTTTCGTTGTTTACCAGTCGTTAAGACCGATTCCGCTTTTTTTATTTTAATTTTATTTTGTACCATCGATAATGGTCGAGTGTCCTTGACTAACTTGCCCAAAGCAGCGTAAAACGAAAACTATTTTGGTTAACTTGATAAACCTCTTAAACATGTATAAGTTCGCTTTAGTAATAGTTCTTTTTAGCGATATGGTTTGCGAAAAGCGATTTTTTTAATGTGACAACGTTGCCACGAAGAAAATCTTACGCTATTGTAAGTTTTTTGTGGGAAAGGTGACTTTTGGCAAGTGAAAAGGTGTTTTTGGCAGAAAAGACTGCAATGCAAAAATGCCATGATACTGTGAACTTGGCGCATCTTATCAGGTTATCATAGCAACCGTATTTATATTAAGCAATTTGACGGTTTTGGGTCTGTGATCTCTCATAATTGACGTCACACTCCAAGAAATGTTTATTCTGTCTCCGGCAATTTAATATGTATTGAAACATCTACGTCACGAGACCAACCCACGGCTCGACCGAGAACGTCGTTTAGAAAACAATTTCGCAGATTAATTGTATGCGAATCGCGGATAGCGGCAAATTTAACGGGACAATCGTTGAATTTTAACCGAAGGATTAAAATCAAACACTGCTGCGACAATTGTCATTTTCATTGTTGCCCGATGTCCTCTAGCCGAACAATGATTTCACTTTTTCTTACAACGTTGCGTTCGATGGGTTAGGTTACTTGGGACCAAAATTTTGACACTACATTTGGGCTACACCTCGCAAATAAAAAAGGCGGGTATCAGTAACCAAGTGTGGATATTCTCTTTTGAAATTCAAAAAAATATTTGAGAAATACTCATATACTACCACGGCATCACGAGAATTGTTTGGTAAGGATGTCAAGATTTCATCGGAGCGTATGAACTTTTGGTTAGTAACGATTGTTCTTGTTCTGTGCGGGGAACGTTTTGAAAAATAATTTAGTTTAGTCGTTTATAGGAATAATCTGATTAAATGTGAATTACTTGAAGAGCTTGTCCCACCTCATATTCGGAGAACTGCTTTATATTTATATTTATATTAGAGTTAAAATTAATGTTACTGGGTACACCTGAGATTTCTCTTTTGTTTTTAATAAACGACCAAAATTTTTTACTATCTTTTTTAAATTGATGTTGAATTTTCACTGGATAGCTTTTATGGGAGTCGCTAATTTCAGATATCGTATTGTGCCAAGCTTTAACGACATTAAATTTGTGTAAAAAAGTAAACGCGATGTAAAAAAGATGTTTACTCTATTATCTTATGCAAGCTGCGAAAATGACAGCAACATCATTTTTTTAAAATGGAATGCCTTACATTTTATTGATTTAAATAGTAGATATTTTTTCCTGCCGTTTTTGAGATATTTCAGTATAAATATAATTGTCATTCGATTTCTTCGAAGTCTGCTTTGAAAGCAATCATATTATCTATGTTTGCAATTGTTTTACAATGTTAGAAAATGTGCCAGTTAAGGATTATTTACATTTAATTTAGCACCAAGAGGGCTCACCTCCACATAATGTCCAACCGGATACCGCTTATCTAAATAATAAATATAGACTTTAAATAAGTTGGCAAGGAACTATCAAATGGCTTGCGAACAGCCCCGACCTGAATCCGTGTGACATTATTTGTGGGATACTTAAAAAATTAAATTTAATATAATAGGCTTGAAAGTTTACAAGTGACAAGAAAAAGACTTAATATCGTTTTCCAAAACCTAAACAGAGAAAACCCTGATTTTATCAACTTGCGTATTAATAGGAAATTAAAACGAAATATTGTCGGATGTATAGAAAATAATGGAAGTTATGAGGAAAATAATTAGCATTAATTATTAATATTTTTATTGTTTGAATAATATAATTTTTAGTTTTTATTAGATGTCAAAAGTGGAACATTGTTAAAACAATTGCAAACGTAGATAATATGGTTGCTATCAAGAAAGACTTGAACAACAATAAAACAATATTACTATTGTCCAGAAATCCAGAATGATAATTATTTTTAAACTGAAATATCTCTAAAACCGTCAAATTAAATGTTAATAAGCCATACGTTTTTGAAATCAGGAAAAAAAGATCAACGATTTAAGCTAATAATATATAGGATATTCCATTTTAAAAAAACGATGTCATGATCGTCATTCGTTTTTTCTGACATTGGCATAGGTTAATAGAGCAAAAATCTTCAAGCTTCTGTATTTACACTTTTTTTCTTCTATCGTTCAAAATTAACACTGTAGGTGGGTGTCAAAATATAATAAATAACCGTGTACGTCGCGTATCGATTCCGTAAGAAAAAATTGACCGTAGGCTCCATACCTGCGTCGTTCGGCCTCCGGCGGCGGCAACCTGTGGCGGTTCACGAAAAAACCGCCCGTACGTCGGACGTCGCGGCGCCCTATATGAAATCGACACTTGCCCCACAAGACGTTTCGCACAAGAAAATGACGCTCCCGCTTCCCCCCCCCCCACGGTCCCGAATTTCTGTCACCCTTTTTTTGTTTCGCACCTCGTGTGCGCTTTGTACGTTCGAGATCGCGGAACCCGACGTCCCGGACTATTCCGCGGGCAAGACTCCGGTGTAACAAGTAGGTAGACGAGACGGCCGGGTCGTGGGATGCGCGCGCAGTCCACGAATCGAACCCGGCGGGGTGCGGAGCGTGGCAATCCTTCCGCCGTATACACTTGTTGGGCGCTATCTCGCCGGAGGGGCAGTCGTTTTTGGTCGAAGGGTCTCCCAATTAGCGTGAACCGTTCTGGATCTTGCCAGTCCGATTTTCCGCGCGACCTTTATGTCGATAAACGTTTTCGGCTCGGCCTCGCCAGAGGATAAAGTTGTTTGTATTTCCTTCGGGTAAATTACCTGCACCTCACTGCGTCGGCAATATTAATGGTCCTTGGCGAACAATATTGACCCGAATCTTCCGTTTACGTAATCCTAACCCGAATATTCCATCGCCTTGCCCTAATCACGTTTCGCATTTACGAACTCTAAGTTCGATAAGGACTACACAACGGCATGCGGTGGGCTAACGGTCCAACCATATTGGCCCACCTGACGTTACTCACCAAAACTAATCTCTGGCGCGATTCGTGTTCTGTGGTGGTTTCTGTGCAGTAGCATTGCACGCGGCGCGTTAACCTCCGTTCGCTCCTAGCAGAATCTGTTATATTTCAGAAAAACCTTGGTATCGTTCTTTTTTGGTGTGACTCTATTTCGGTGGTGTTTGGTGTTCGTTTTTAAGTGTTAAAGTTTACGCTGGTATGGAGGCCGGTTGGTCCTAGGTGGAAGCGGAGGAAGACCGATTCGATTTTTTTGGTATATCTTTTTTACATGTTAGTCTGTGACCAAAAAAAAAATTCCTAGATGGATGTCGGTAATGGGCGAATGTCCTTTGTTGACTTGCCCACTTTAAGGAATGCAAAGAGAGAGAGAGAGAGAGAGAGAGAGAGAGAGAGAGAGAGAGAGAGAGAGAGAGAGAGAGAGAGAGAGAGACGATTCTGTGGTTTAATGTAATTTTGTCAGAAGCGTGCGAAACTAGTTTGGATGATAAAAGGTCGTGTCTGGCGTCTAAACTTTTGCTTAAGGCGTATGGTATTTGTGTATGCAACAAACATTTAATTTTTTTCGTAATAAGTATGCGTTTGATCTGATTTGGCCTTATCTGGCTAATATTGACTCTTTTCAGATTGATCTTGAGTACCAGATTCTACCAGTGAATTGTGAGATTCTGGTTTTTCTAATGAACAGGTATTTCGGGAGATGTGCGAACAAAGGTGGTCCTCAGATTATGCATATGTCTAAGGGAGCTGATAGGGTGGGAATAATTGTTTTTATCCCACATCTTAATATTAAGTCAGGGTTGGTGTTGAACTGTTATTTTAATATTGATATGGGCAAAGTCAGTTAAGCATGCACTTCATTTAATAGGCACATAAAATTTGGTGCCCGCTGTAATAGTCTGTGATTCGAAAAGTGCCCTCCAGAATCTGATACTGGGTGTGCAAAAATTTTAGACTGCACTTGAGAATTGCCGTTACTGTATATGGAATAAAGGGCCGAATGTCCTTTGTTGAATTGTCCACGTTACGGAAGGCAAAAAAGAAGAAAAAATGTTCTCTGCTCTTGAAATTGTCAATAAGACCCGCAAATAGGAGGCGAATGTTTTTGTTCGTCGAGCCGGAGATCGTGAGTCCGTTTGAAATAATATCTCGTAATTACCAAATCGGGGATGTCGAGGGATAAGACCGCGTGCGAAGGTACCGGTGGCGCAAACGAAAACACGTAATTTCATAACCTATAAAGCAGATATCGTTGTAGATTTAAAGGCATTCGAGAGGAGACTGACGGAGGTGATAGCAAGTTTACATCCGTCCACGACCAGATGGAGAAGTAGTTTTTCATTTTTGCATTTGTGGACGTGTTTTATGTTACAAGCGAACGTTAATCTGTGTTTCTAGTTGTGCTGGTGGTGGTTTCAATATGCGTCGCTACGGGCGCCAGCCAGTGGATTTTCGACCCGGACACCCGCGTAGTCTCGCTGTCGCAATCTCTGTCGAATCACCCGTTCTTTATCCTGTCCACCGTCATTTTAAGTGAGTAAACCTTAACGACTTCGACTTGGGAGTTCCGCGACCTATTTTTCAGTGATAATTCTCCTCCTCGGGGTCCATAAACGGGTAATAGCGGCCTCTATAATAACGGCGAGAACCCGCGAAGTATTGAAGGACTTCAACATGTCCTGCGACGACACGGGAAAATTAATATTGAGGCCTCGCCCCGTGAGCATCACGTGACACTCCGCGTTCCTTCATTAATTGAATGTGTTTTATTTGCGTAACTTACTTTAACGTAATAACAAGATAAATTTTTAAATAAAATTATTAAACGAGCTGGTTTTATGTTCGAAATGTTCTTTTCCACCTTTGGTGGGCAAATATACTCTGGTCACTCGCCCAGGGACATGGACCTGTATACTTTTAGTTCTATGCACAGTTATGTCTATTCATGTGATCACTTTGTTAATTGAAAGGTCTGTGTCAACCGTTATTCTGTAACGAAATTATGGCGTCTTCTTTAGAAAATTTGGAAACTCAGTTGGAAATGTTTGTGGAAAATGTGCGACAAATACACATCATAGTCAGCGATTTTCAGCCGCAAAGCCAAAACGTGTTGAATCAGAAACTGTGAGGCGGACGTCACAGTCACGAACGATTCACGAATATTTTCTGTTTTAGCCACGCAATGGTTCACGGGCTGCAGGAAGTCGATAAGCTGAAATCTCAGGTGCAAGACGTGCACGTTCCGCTAGAAGTGTTTGAGTGAGTGCGGAATTTTCGTGAATTTTATGTAGTTACGCCCACACGGTTTCAGTTACATTGACCAGGGCCGCAACCCCCAGCTGTATACCAAGGACTGCATCGAAAAAGCGCTGGCCAAAAACGAACAGGTTAAGGGCAAAATCGACGCGTATCGAAAATTCAAGGCGAACATGCTCCTCGAATTGAGCAGAACCTTCCCCAACGAATTGAGCAAGTACCGGGCATTGAGGGGTGACGAGTAATTTTTAGGTTAGGTCAGTTTTCTTTTTAAGTTATCTATTGTGCGTGCGTGTATTAATAAAACAATTTTTTTTAAAAAGCTATATTTTTTATTTATCGTAAAATGCAAAACTCGAACATGGAAGATGATATCAGAATTCTTGATTGCCCCATCGGATCTGAAAGCAAAAATGAGTAGGCTTAAGCTGAAAAGTGTGCTGCTACTTACGTCTGTTCGGGCTTTCAATTTCCTATCTATGAGGCCGCACAATGTCTCAGACCTCACCGATAACGAGTCTATCTTCTCAATCAGTTGCTGGTAGGGAGACAAAGGCTGCGCCCCCATGACGACGTGCCCCAATTTCGAGTCGATTTTCGCGTCCAAACGGGCATTCCTTATCAAATTTACTATCCAGCATTCCGCCTCATCCGGGTTCATGTTCAGTTTCTCGGCCAGCATGCCTATGCTGATGCACTGGTGAATCCTGCAGAAGGTCTCGAATATCATAAGGCGCGCGTTCTCAACAAACTCGTCCAGGCACGAAATCAGGAAGAAATCGTTGTACAGGACGTTCTGGCAGTCCTGCAGTTTGCGTCGGGCCCCGTCAAAGTCAAAATTCACGTACAGGTGTTCCAAAAACTCCGTGATGGGATCCTTGTAGGTGTAGCTCTCCTGCTGGATCACCTTCACGAGATCCTTCAGAGCGGACCTGCGTCCCCTGTTTATGATGACCGCCGTCGCCAGGTACCTCAGTATGTGGGGGCACATGGTCTGAATGGCGTTTAGATAATGGGGCCGGTACAAAAACATCTCGATAATGAGCTCCCTACCGAGTGCGTGGTTAAAGAATACAAACAAGGACCAGTGGATTAACCATGTCCTCTGCTGCAGGAGCTGCAAACTATTGCCACCGAACTGATTCGGACTGTTATCGATGTACTCCCTGAGTTTGTTGAGGTCTTCCAGCGCGGAATCCCAATTTTGCACGAGAATTTCGGACGCAAACTTACCCCACAATGCGCTCAAATAATTTTTATCATTGGGCGGAAGGACGAGCATGCAAAAATACAAATACGAAGTGGACACGGAATAGTTGCCGCACTCGTAACGGTACTTCGCCAGGGTGTGGAGGCTGTTGATCATCCCAAAATCAAACTGAAAACAAAATCAGTAACAAGCGCCAAGCTTGAAAGCCCATAAACGGTACCTTAAATTCTTTTTCCAAGTAAGCCACCAAGGTTTTAGAGTCCCTCATCGTTTCCATGTTCTTCATCACTTCGTCATTTGCCATTATCTGCAAAATTGGCTCGACTTGCTGCTGCAGCTCCTGCAACTGGGTAACGACGTGCGTACGTCTCTGTTTCATATCTTCCGGTACTTCTTCAGTCGAATACAATTGCTTCCTGATATCTATCGCGTAGTCAATCATATTCGTTTTGCTAAGAATATCCAACTTTGCCTTCAGCACTTCGGTCTCGTCGTATATCTTAAAAGGACGCGAGTGGCGTGAGCTTCGGCCTCGTATTGGGGTGACGCTTTACTCACTTCTTTGGCCGATAGAAATTCCAGCAACGGAAATACCAGATGCCGATCCAAATACTGGGCGATTCTCGAAGTTAAATCGTACTTTGCCATTTTGTTGCGGATAAACTTCCAAACAAAATGTGACAAACGTATAATATAACCTCAAAACAAAAGTTTCGACCGCAGACACAAAATTGGTAACATAACTATACCATAAATTACACTTCAGTGCCCTGGAATGTTTCTAATATAACGGCAGCAGCCCAAAACTTCCATAAAGAGTTTTTCACGTTAGGATAAATTTGCTGCCTTTTCAAGAAATTACTTTTGTTACAACAAAATCTCGGGTAATCCTGCAGTTTACGTATTTAGAAGAAGGTGCAATTTTTACTGTGATTCGTAAACGGCATCCAGCTTCACAGTGCTGCCAAACTAATTTATTAATTTGATTTAACCAGTAAATTATACAAAAAACCAAGTCCTAGTTATATAACACCGCCCGTTTCAAATTTCATGAAAATCTCCAACATTTTCTATCCAAAATATGCAGTAATAAATTCCGATCCTCATAGTTTTGGTTAGTTATAGTTATTAGGTCCAATTGAGAATAATGTCAAAAATGTTTTACCATGGCCAGAATTTCAAGAATAGAACACCGCAAATTTTTTAATGCTGGTGTTTCCTTTGAGTTCATCAGTATTTATCAGCCGTCGAGAAGCAATTCTACTGTTATAAATCAATGAAAATCAAATTCCATGAATGAAATGTGAAACGGCGTCACTGGATAAATATATCGATGAAATGCTTAGTAAACTTACGACTGTCCGATACGACGGTAACGTCATCTAAGGGGCAATCAACGAGGAGGGGTTTGTTTACACAGGTGTGGGCCATTATCGCGGAGCTTGATCCAAGGATATTTTTGAGTTGCAGTTAGGGTTGTGTCAATCGTTTATTTTATGAAAGCCGAATCAATCAGTGACCGATTTCGATACGGACCGAACCATTTCAAGCAATCGTTCATTTCAATACTTTTTGTTGCCAACATAAGCGGCAATAGTCAGTTTATCCGAACAGTCCGAACGACAGATTCAGATTCATTTGAATTTGAATTGTTGTTGTGTCTATAGGTTATGTTTTCTGTTCTAGTTAGAATAATATTTAGCTGTGTTGTGCTTTTTATTGAATCATGATTTTATCATAGGTGCTACGTATTGGGTTGTACCAGCAATAGATTAATTTGTTGAAATTAAATACCTGTGGGGCAATAGATATTTTATTCAATATTCAATTCAACACATAAGCAATTCTACCAATCGATGTCCCAACCCAATACTATGGAATAATTATAACAATACTCCCATTCCTTTTGCGTGGCCTGTCTCAGTCATGCATTTAAATCTTATCCATTCAAATCAATCGTATTCCGCAAGGCGAATTCGAATTGTTTTGGTACGGTCTGTCGATCGGTCGTGCTGTATTCGGTTACTTCAGACCAGTCAATGCGGCAGGGTGAGCGAACAATGTGATCGAATCGTTACGAACAAGCGGGATTCGGTCGTTCGATCCTATGAAGTAATGAATCAAAGTGACCGAATCAATCGCGATTGACACAACTCTAGTTGTAATATGTTTTAATAGGTTGAGCGTGCCATTTCATTGTTTGTATTACGGTATTTCCGAATAAATGAGTGTGAACGAGATTTCTCCAATTAATTTCCCACAATTCTTTTGTTATTTAGTTATACATTTTTTGAAAATTAAAAACCAAAGCATCTACAAGTTGCGAGGAAAATGCATTTAACCAACGCGATTTAGGAAATGAAAATTCTCCCTTCTTCTTCTCTTCTTTACTTCCATGGCCATATGTTTCTTCTTTTAATTCTTAAAACTTTAATTAATAATCGGGATTGGGAATAGCTCCTTTGGTTAGCTTGCGGGAGGTTGCGGGATTGATTTCTTGAATTATGTGGGTTTAATAACACACACTGAAGCGTTTTATTTTAAGAAGGATGTATTAAATATTGGAATTTATAAGAAAACTAACAAAATTCATTCTACACTTGGGCCGCCATTCCACCGCGTGTTTCTTCTCTAGTCACGTAGGCCAAAAAAAAATTATTTCAAAAACAATACATGTAATGCCATCTATGTGACAATAACTGCGTTCTGCACTATACATTCAACATGATTAGCTCCTGGGCCTTGGGTATTGTATATATTGTAAATATTAATGAAGAGTCATCAATAAACGGAGTTTTATTTGAACGTTAAGTGTAACCTCAAATTTCAAAACTGATGCGGATATGTCATCTCTTCGATGTCTTTTTATTTGAGACCGCCTAAAGGCTTAACGAATCTTCACAAACTCGAAGAGAGTGTCACTCAGCGGCTAGCCTGTTACGAAAACCTGGCATGTGAGGAAATCGTCGAGCTGATATACGAATCCGAGTGCTTAATAGAAGATAGCATTCTGGACAGGTCGGGTCACTACGTGTTTAGATTGCTCGCGTCACAGAGCAGGGTTTTTTACGCTACATTTATAGAAAACGAAACGAAGTTGTTAAAAATTCGCTTGCGTTGTTACGAAAAAGGCGACCTCAGGAGGCTCGTGAAAAAACTGAACGCCCAAACGGTCGACTGTTTGGAAACAGCGGCTGGCGAGGAAAGGATCGGAACTTTCTTTAACTCACTGAAAAATGTTTTGAGGAGAATGCTGGGTAAAGGTTATTTCGATCACGCTTTCGGGCACGATTTTGGGACTTGCGGCGGCTGTGGGTCTTATCGAATCGCAGGTAAGGTTCCTCTGTTCCCCACTTAGGAGACACAGTTCGTTGAATTTCAGTACCTTTTTTTATATGCCCGGAGCTAGTCGCTCGACGAGAGGTGGCGATAAGCTCGGGCTTCCTCAATATCGAATCTTTCGATTGGTCAAAACTCTTGCTGTCTTTGTACAGGAATTATTTAATGCTAGCTTTGGACGAAATGAAACACTCTGCCGTTGTATCCTACGCCCTCGACGACGACAGAATACAAGAGGTCCTGGCTTTGATTAAAAATGTGTTCTTAATCGACAACCCTCGAAGGCATATGGCCCGTTTTACCAATGTAGAGGAGGAGTTCAGACTGTTTCCCCTGTGCATGGAGAACTTGTACCGAGTGTTGCAAAAGAAGAACAGGTTAAGTCATAATGCCAGGTTCAACTTTAGCTTGTTCCTGAAAGATATTGGTATGAAGTTGGACGATTCCATGAAGTTCTGGGAGTCGGCCTATTCGAAACGGCGCTCTGTGTGCTCAAGCTGCGCTCATAGTTGGCAAGGCAACGAGGAAAGATATATTTACGGGATCAGGCACATGTATGGTTTAGAAGGCTCCAGAAGGAGTTACTCAGTCAAGTCGTGCCAGCAAATTGAGGTAAAGTTAGAAGCTTCAGCTACTTGAAAAAACTGTCGTGTGCCCGTAGGAGTTGACCCTCGGCGCCAACGAAGAAGGGGGCTGCCCTTTTAAGCACTTCGACGACGCTTGCTTAAGAAACGCCTTGCGGACTCGGCCGGGCGACGAGGATACCGGGGTTATCATTTATTCGCGGAAGACGAGTGCCAAAAAGGCATGCATGATGCACTTGAAGTCGAAACTGAATGATTCTAGTAGACCGAAAAGAGACTCGTTCCAGTTTTATAACCCGGCCGAGCACTACCTCTTACTAAAAAGACTCATGAGCTGACGTGGACAAATAAAACACGTTTTATTCTAACGCTGTTTGCTTTATTTGGTGTTTTTGGAATATTCAACAGAGATCGAAACCACGTCGACGAAATAAAATTTACAACCTTACCCGTTTTTCATTAGACACCGAACGTTTAAGGCGATTCGCAGATTCAACCCAATATTTCCGAAAATTCACAAAGCTATGCTTACGAGTAAATTGCTTTTGAGCGTAATTGGAACAACTGGAACGTGTTAAGAATTAATAGTTAACATTTAGATAAAAGGGTTTGCGAAAGTACGTTCCATCGAGCAAAGGCAGATCTAAAACAATTGTCGAGTACTGAAATTGTAGATCCCCCGCAAAATTGTGTACAAAAATCCAAATACTGTTTAATCATTTAGTAGTCATAGATACCAAACTTGTCAGTTGCCGCAACCACGGCGCTTTATATCTTGTCCCTTGTTGCCAAATAATCGCTTATCATAACTTAGATCGCGCCCCATCTGCTCGTACGGCGCATGGTCTTTAATTTTCATTGAACCCATCAAGTTTGTTTCCTTTTAAAATCGAATTTTGGAGCAAAGGTCTTTTTTTTTAGTGTTCAAGTATGAATAATTCCCAAAACTTTATGGCGCATAAAGTGGGGTTAGGTTTCAAAATCGCTCGTATTTTTTGCGGAAAAAAAACTAGGAAGGGAACTTTATTACAGCGTATTTTGGAAATGATTTTCTTTTCTATTTCCGAGATAAGTCGAATAAATGTAGAAATTCGGCATCGCTGTGCGACCAGATGTCATTTGGCAAGCAGTTAAAATTTACCCCTCCGTTAAATGCGTACCGTGAGGGTTTGCCGTAATTGGTTAGTTAGTTGATGGGGAAAATAAAAATAAGCCAGAGGACAACTTGACGACGTATGTCCTTGCGTACGTACTTTTTTAAGCAGTGGGTTTGTGACATCGTAGCTTACTGGGTTACCGTCATTGGTTAGTTAGTTGACAGGGAAGATAAAAATAAGGGAGAGTACAACTCGATAACGCACGTCCATGCGAGTGTTCTTTTTTTTTATGTAGTGGGTCTCTAACATCGAATTGCCATGGTTTTGTTGTCATAGCGTGTTATTGCGGTCGATTGCTTTAAATATGCCTCCGATCGATCGGGCGGTGCGAATTTTTAAGCGCCCACCATTCTCTTGGCCAAATAGCCGGGCACGGAGTAAAAGAAGACCAAAATTATTATTGCAATGCCGACGACGACGAGTAGTTTGAGGATCGTCCACTTGTAGTTATGCCACAGGATGTACCTGATCGATTTGATCGGGTTCATGAACCACATGAAGGAGGAGTCCGGCCGGCTGAAACGAATCGGCGTTCCGTCGCGTTCCGCAATGCATTCGAACGACTCACTTGGGCTTGTCCAGCGGGTCGGGCTCGTTCCTGCCCGAACCTACCGGTATTCTATCGGCCTCCTCTCGTGTCAGCACGTGTATTTCGGCCTCCACTTTGCCGGTCAGTTCCATTTCTTCGTTGTCCTTTTTGATGAAAAACGGCCACCAGCCCTTGACCCGTTTTTGTTTAAATATGTTAACGGTCGGCACGGAGTCATCCGGTTTGAGCATGTCGAGGGTGCACAGCTTGGACGATTTCGCCCCGCGGGGGAAGCGGTTCAGGTCTAGGGTCACCGCCCCTGAAGGTAACTCGATTTATATTGTGTTAAAAAATGAGTTCAAAAGAACGAAACATATTTCTTTACTTTGGTTTTGCATGCTTCTCAACATTAGTAAGTGCTAAATTTCCCTATTATTGTGCTAGTGATTATAGAGTAGAATAGAGTGGTTATAGAGAATATTTGCGACTTGTGCGTGCTATTAATTTCTTATATAGGGTAAGTTGTTAGTAAGTTATGTTTTCTCTTACGGAACCCCCTAGTGCACGGTATTGGGCTAAGGGAGTTGCTGACCTTCTATAGGAGGGGCTGCATTCTGGACTCCCTCTAGAGCGGCCTGGGGACACAACGGGCCCATTTGGTGGCCTAAGTGCTTGGACGGCCGCGAGACCAATACCAATAGCAATACCAATGGCATGCTATATTTTATTTATATTTAGGAATATTTCCATTTTAATGAATAGAATTAGTCAACACCATGCAGAGTATCTCGAATCTAACCTCAAAATTCCTATACCTAGACATATAGAGACCCTGCCTATGCTGACAGTACAGAGACTCACTAAGCAACATGTTTTTTTTTGAAAAGGTCCAGTTAACATGCGCATGCGCGAAATTTGGATTTTTGTAACCAATGGCAGCTCCAATGAAAAACTCTGATGTAATAATGTTTCTATGCGGCATTTTTACGGCAGCATTTTCTCAAAATATGTCGTAAACCTATTAAATTTTCAGGTAAAAAAGGAGTTAAGCTCTGAAAAAGCTGTGCATAATTACAACCCTGTGCAATTTGGTAATTTGCTTTTTGATATTGAAATATTACACTTTTTTTATTGAAAATAGATCAGACTCAAACACATTTTTTTCTGAACAATTAATTAAACAGAGATCACCTTCTCGACGCTCACTTGTGGTCGATATACAAAGGAAATATTTATATTTATTTATTTATTTAATCAAATCCACAACAATATTGGCACATATGTATCTTTTTTTTTTTTTTCAATGGCACTTCTAGGTTTGTTTATCTAGTATGTTACGTAAATTCTCATGGACGCAGTGCCCGCATAAATGGTGGGATTCCTTCTATTATTTTTTGTACCCCTGTATATAGCAACGTCAAATTTGACATAAAAACAATATGTCACAATGACAGCGGGCAACATATTAAGTATTTCTTTAAACGGTAACATTTGATTCAATATAATAGAGAAACAATACAGAATAAAACAAACTAAACAAAATTCCTTCATTCGCACTTGTATACGAGGGAGGTGTGAAAAGTTTCCGGTCTACTGGTGGAGCGGCATCCTACAGAATCATTCCAACCGAACTTGTATGTACAGTTTCAAGCCTAATCGCTACGTTATTTACTTCTATTTGAAAGGTTTTACACCAAATCAAATCAAAGAAGGAGACTCCTCCCCCTCATATTCAACTATTAAACAGTGGGTTTCGGAATTTGAAATGGGTCGGGTGAGCAACTCTGACTAGCCTCGCTCACAACTTCACAAATGATGATGAAGAACGCAATTTCGAAATAGTAGAGATAGCTGAGACCCGTAGGAGGATGTCATTACGATAACGCACTTACTGCCCAGCGAGTATTATCTGTTTCCTAACCTCAACAAATGGCTTAAAACTGGTATAACCCAATTAGAACGTTATGTTGAAATATAAAGAATAACGATTTTTAAAAACATCGATTTTCTTGGTTAGGCTGGATAAATCGAACCCGAAGTCTGTGATGGTAAACTTTAACAAGCGTTACATAGCCGCTTTTTATAGTACGACTCAACTATTGGGTGAATTAGTAATACTGCGAACTTGAGCAGATATTGGAACGTTCTGGAAATTTTTGCTGAGTCGAACTTGCTAACGTTTCGCAAATCGTTCTTTTGGCTTCTTCAGAGCTTTACTCTGTACCTGCTTATATGTGGTTTGAGGGGGGCGGAGCTAAATGAGGGGCATAAACACGGTCTCGGATGACCGATTCTCATATTGGTGACAGGTCGGTGAGTCGCGGTTAAGATTGTTAGGTTGCTTATACATTTCTATACATTTCGTGATTACATGCAATAATTTTAGTTTTATCGAATAAAATTTTATGTCCGGTTTAGTTTAGTTCAGTTTAGTTAAGGCTCTTTCATGCTCTTTGAGCCTAGTTGATATTTTTCGTCCGGTCTCTCTAGTGCATTCTTTGCCGCATATGGCTGGCATTTCAAATGGACTTTTTTTGTTGAGAAATTTTTGGACAAATGGTAAATCTGGTCTTGACATTGTATTCCTTTAGAACTTTTAATATGTGGTCAGTAATGTTTTGACTGTAAACAAAGATTGCTATTGGAAGGTTGTGGTGAAGTGTATTTTGTGCTGGAACGCTTAAATGTTTAGCGTGGAAATTATTAGGGAGAAGAGCAGAGTTAAGGGGGTTTAATTCTGAATTCAGTGACGTGCGTCGGTTTTCTGTAAACACAATGACCCAGTTAGGTCTGATTTTCTACTGATAAGAATATCTAAGAATGAGAGGTTATTATTGTTCATTTGTCTATAAAATGACTAAATCTGTTTTGGTCGAGGTGACTCGTCTGCAAATATGGGTAGCCTGCCCACTGAGTGGCAATAGGCAAAAAATTTAATCTTTGTGAAAGCTGAACTGATCTTCAGAATTAATGTGCAAGGGAAATGTTTGCTCTATTTTTAAAAATAGTTTTCTAGGTTTGTTGATTTCGGAGCCATCGGGGTGTTTTATTACGCAACACGCTGCAAGAGAGTGACGTACCTAGAAAGTCGTCGGCGCTGAAGTGGTCCGCATCCCACACCTGAAGTTCCAGCCTGGCCGGTATTTTGCATTCCGTCTCGTCCCAAGAGAACAACGACTCCTTCCTCGAGATCACTATCTTCTGTTCCGCGACCAGATAGTCGAAGGGAAAGATGAACCTCCAGTTGAAGTTGCCCTCGCCAGTCAACGACCTGTAATGTATATCCGTGCATTGGCAATCCTCCGGGCCCTTGAGCCATCCCTTGACGTATATGTCTGACATTTTCTCGCCGGTGAAAAAGGCATCGTCCTCGAGGACCACCTCGTCGGTGTTCCATATGATTACCCGTAGCTCGTAGCTCTTGGGTTTCCTGGGTGATATGTCCAGGGGCGGTCCCGGCAGGGGCATATCCATTGGGAACATGTCGACCCACATCTCGAGCTTGCCCTGCTCGATGCCGGGCTTGTCGGGACTGTACAAGGCTCGCGTCTCGACGTGTTCGGGCACGAGACGGCAGCCGAGTTTCGGCAACTCGTGCCACCGGTGCAAAACGCTCAACGCCATGCGTTCCGTCTCTCTGCTGACGACGAAGTCTTCAGCGTCGCCAGCCACGTGGAACACCTTGTGGCCGACCTTGACTTGACCTTCGCAGTACACGGGCGGTTCGATTTTCGCGTCCTTGCAGAGTTTCGCTAGGATCTGGGTCGGTTTCATGGCGTCTCGCCACGCGTTGTACCCTTGCCTGGAATGGTTACGAATTCGTGTCCCCAAAGGAGGAGCTCAATGTGCACAAATATAGTAAAAGCAACTAATTAAAGAGATAACCGGGGGGGCTTTCAGTTGTTAACATGTTTTCAGACAGCGATTACTAAATTTTGTTTGATAACACAGCACTTGGTATACTATTGGCAAGCGATATAAAGTGCATTCAATCAATATGGCGGGACAATATCACAACCGGTTTCTGAAATTAAAAAAAAAAAACAACATGTTCATCTTCTGGAGTAGTTTGGGCAGTTTTCGATTGTTTATTGATCAAAATCGATGGAGGTGTTGAAAGAAGGGACTCAGTTTGTGTGAAATATTCTTTATCTGACAGTTGAGAGTGTGGCCTACTAGAAGGTTCATTTTCTTCTAAACTTCTATAATCAGTTTCTTCGACGGCATCTTCTGGTTCGGGCAAATCTCCAGACTTTATGATTGGTATTTTTTTAACTAATGCCCCAAGACAATTTGGGAAATTTCATACCCTGAAGTATTCTTCGCTAATATTTTCAAACATTTCTGAAGATGGAGTCGGCATGTGTTCTGGTTGTAAAACTTTCCATAGTATATTCACAGTTTCTTTAGCAATTTTGAAAATAAGTCCCTCTGGTAGCATGTACTACAACTACAAATAGTATTTTTCGATAGTACTTCAAGGAGTATGTGATGCCAAATACAGATTCACAATGATAGACGGTGGAGGCTGTGGTCGACAAAGCGGCGGAGGAACATTTCAAAGCTCAAATTTGTCCAAGCTACTAACCAAAAAGAAACATTTTTACTGAAACCATATAGCAGAAATAGAATGCATCTATTTTAATCACCCTCTGTCAAGAGCACGTAAAGAATAGTCGCGTGGTATTTTATACTGACCAAAAAACAGTTGACAAGATTATTAAAACACTATGTGCTTTTCCAAAGAAACATCCACAGGCTACTGTAATACTTTTTGCAAAAGTTCTGGATTCCTCCTGCGTCGGTTTTTTTGCTGAGTCGAAATTGCTGACGTTTCGCCAATCATCCTGTTGGCTTCTTCAGAATTTGACTGAAACTGGCTCGTATTTTGCTCTGTTATATATTGTTTGAGGGGAGCGCTAATGATGTAAGACTTTCGTGTTTTTTCAGCCTAGTTGATATTTTTGGTCCGGTGTCTCCAATGCCGCATATGCATGGAATGCTGTAAACTCCTGGCATCTCAAATGGAATTTTGTCTTTGACGGACCGAAGATTTTTGGACAAGTGGTAAATCTGGTTTTGACGTTATACTTCTTTAGAACTTTTGATATGTGATCAGTGAGTGATGTTTTGAATGTAAAGAAGGACCACAGTGGCAGGTGTAGGATTGCTTTCGGCCTCATTGCTATTGGAAGGTTGTGGTGAAGTGTATTTTTTGATGGAACGCTTAATAATAATGTGAAAATTATTAGAGAGAAGAGCAGAGGTAAGGTGTTTTAATTCTGGGTTCAGTGACTCGGGCTGAGATAGTTTTACGACTCTGTAAACAAGAGAGTTGATTACCGATGATTTTTGGGCCGGATGGTGATGTGACCATGCATTAAGGTATCGGTTTGTGTGCGTACGTTTTCTGTAAACGCAATGACTTAATTTTAGGTCCGATTTTGTATTGATAAGAATATCTAGGAATGGAAGGTTATTATTAGTTTCCAACTCAACGGTAAAACGTAAGCTAGGGTGTATAGAGTTCAAATGTCTAAGAAAATCTACTAGGATTTCCTAACAATCAGGCCAAATAACAAAAGTATCATCGACGTAGCGTTTCCATAATTTTGGTTTAGATGAAAGGTGTCGAGAGCTTTCTTCTCAAAGGTGAGACTTTGATAGAGAAGAATCCTTAATGACAGGTTTAAGGTTGCGATCCATAGATGATGTAGGATCTTTTTTAAGTTGACGATATGATCCATCTGTAAGAATATCTTGAATCTTTTCCTGATATTCATTTGTGTCAATTAGTACCGTAGCATTTCCTTTATCTGCTTTTAGGATTATGATGTCTGGATTAGATTTTAGAGATTTTAGAGCTATGCGTTCAGGCTTTGCAATATTGGATTAAGGAGGTTTTGATACATTTATTACAGTTTGGTAGTTGAGAAGTGTTTGGTGGTTTTCCTAGTGTTGACGTTAGTTTTTCAAATTTATGAATGTGATTTTGGGGTAGTAGATAAACGAAGATTTAAAGCTTTGTCATGAATCATGTTTGAAAAGGTATCGAATTCAGATGGGGACAAAATAGAAGAAATTTCAAGGTGTAGAGACAGAAGCGCATCATTGATTTAGTCTATATCCTTACGGCAATGATGAATTCTTTCGCTAAGTAAAGCGAAGCTAGATTTTCGAAGAATTTTATATGCGGATTAGGTTGTGACATGATGGGATATTTTAAGAAAATTGGGGATAACGTTATGGTCTCTACAACGTAACAAAAAAGTCAGTGTACAGAGTAATCTTACCAGTTTCAGTCGGTGATATTTTAACTTTTTTCATTTGCACTTGATGTTCTCTGCATAATGACTTCGGTAATACTTTTTACAAAACTTCTGGATTCCTGTTGCGTTTGAAGAAGCCAACAGGATGATTGGCGAAACGTCAGCAAGTTCGACTCACCAAAAACCGATGCAGGAGGAATCAAGAGGTTTTGTAAAAAGAGATTTAAGTTTGTTACGTCTTGGCGGAGCAAAAGAGGACGTGGTTCGAATTAAAAGTGATCATAGCGTTAAATAAAGCTTCTACTCACTCTTCGTATTTGTCGGGCAAACCGCACGTGGCCCTGTGCCTGCTGTAAAACCGGTTCTCCAAATCGATCTTGGTCTCCCCCACCATCTCGTCCGACCCGACCAGATCCCAATCGTAGATTTGGACCGTAAGAATCGAGTCTTGCGGGAACGTGGCTTCGATTTCGAAACACTTGCCAAACACGGGGTTCAGCTGTTTGGAAACGTAATTGTCTTTGTCGCTGATCCGTTTGGAGCCCAAGATTAATACCACGTAGGGATCTGCCTTGCCGTTTAGGTCCATGGGGTGGAGGTCGTTCGCTTTGACCACGTACACCCTGACCAAGACCCGAATCGGGTCGTTCGAAGGCAACCCCTGGAAAAACCCGTATTGGGGATCGAACCCCATGACCGTGCGGTCTTCGATGTCCTTCGGCAGCGGCCATTTGTAGACCTCTATCGCGCCCTGCAACGTCGACGGTCCCCACGGTGCGGCGGCGATTTTTCACTCACCTTGAAATAACCCACTATCCTGTTCTCGTCTTCCGATGCCTCGCCGGATTTTTTCCCCCTGTATAGTGGAAAAGTGCGAAGCCACTCTTTGAACTCCCGGAACTCCGGTCGCGCTTCCAACTCTGTCGGATACACCTGGGAAATTTGAATCGCAACACCTTAACTATCTGGCTAACCTACTAGATGGATGTGGACTTTACCTTGAACAATACCGGTTTGCATTTTTTGCGTTTCCTGACGCTTTTTGGGCTAATTCTGGCAGCGAATCGCGACGCAGTCGCTGCCGTTTTGAATCCGAACCGCTTCTTGTACTCCTGCCCCGGACTCTTGTCGGAACTGTACCCGGACTGTGGATTGTTGTCGTCTTCCGAGCACCCTTGCACATTGCCGTTCTGGCTGCAACACCATGCCAGCGTCAGTAGTGTGTCGATGCAATGAGGGCTACCCCCACCACGTACCTCGATATTTTTTTGGCTTCCTTCGAATCGTCTATCATCCTCTCCACAGAAGCGAAATACTTCGTCCACCAGTCTTTGCTGTCCTCTTCGTCGTCGGCGTCATCTTCTACGCTAGTTTTTCGTTTCGTTTTCCTCGCGGCCGTTTGGGTCCCGTAACCTGGATCACAAACGAACAATTGGAGATATTGTTACGAACGCCTAAAATCTGCCACTTGTTGGTTTTACAAACCACACATGGTGGATCTGGCCAAAATCTTTATTACTTAAGATCGTTGCTCTTGACGCGGCCTATGACACTGTTTGAATCGATTAGCTATGTTTTTTTTGGATGGATTTTGAATGGTACAGTCCGCTCCTTAGAAATCCTCTTAAATTCTTCGACGGTTTACATTTCGCTGTAATAAATGGGTCCGAATTTAATAGTAACCTATTAAGGACACCCGTCGCGTTCGATTATGCTACCACTTTCTGGCAAAATGATGGCGACGTAAACGAAAATGTTTATTTCAAACTTCTGCTGCATCTTCTGTTTTATCACTTCAGGTCCGTGTTTTCTCCTGTTTCTTTGCAAAATTTTTCAAATTTTGCTGTACACCTGAAGTTTTAATTTTTTTTTATTACAGTGATATCAGGGTCATCTTGCGGTTAATATTGTCGTCATTGCTAAGACCCAATTTTATTTTGAATTCTCCTTAAACGGTCTTGAGCGCTCAATCCTTACATAAGTCGGCCTCACAACACAAAAGCTCAAAATCAATCAATCAATCCGCTTTCGAACAGTATAAATTACTCACAGATGCCAAATTTTACTCCCATTGCTCTGTTATTCTTATTGACAGAACCAATTATTATGAACACCTAACTCAATTTAAGGTAAGTGCAAGGTGCAAAAATTGTACAATAGTTCGGTACCGCTAAATATTCCTAAAACTGATTTATAAACATGCTTTCTATTATTTTTTCGATGTTTTACTGGCGCATGCACCATTTGTGAAACTAATGATAAAACTAATTACTATCCCTTTCATATTTGTATACATGCCTATTATTTGTACCTATTAAAACTATGTAAATTAATATTGCTGGATTAAACTTAGGTATTTAACAGTCTTGCGTCGTTTAGTTTGTTCGCCAGCTGCTTCAAATGACTTCTTCGGTCGCCCTAGCTTTGTTCGTTGGAAGCTCAAATACTGTTTCGCTTCAGTTCAGCTACACTTCATTTCGGAGAACTTATGTTTTATTTAATTAATTTGTTCGTCACCAAAAAGCTACAGCCTTATCAAATGTACAGTAAAAGTACAATAAAACACTTTCAGTAATATTATTTTTGATAAAGCAAATAAAAAAACACAAGTATAATTCGACCAAAAATATAGTGCATTTATGGCTTTGATGTTTTAAGTATTTTACAGTACCTTAGCCGTAGACCCGTCTTGTTTGAGATGCACCGTAACGAATATTTGCAGAAACTTGAAATTTTTTGCTGCAGGGTTTTTTCGAATAAGTAGAAGAGTTTATTTTTACATCGGGTGATATGTATCATTCTTAAGAGTTTAATCTAAATTGCAATATGTTCTTATATATTATGCATGTATATTTGAAATCTTGAGATTACCCCCGTATCATTGTATATTTAACCCGATTGAGATGATTTGGTCGGGGTGATGGTATCATAAACGTAAATCGGCAAGAGGCAGCTAAAATATTCCCACAAAACTGGTGTAACTGTAAAAAACGAGTATTAAAAGACGAAAATGTTTACCGAGAACGATTAGTGGGGGAGCTGATCATTGAACTAGGTAACGATAGTAGCGACAGTGACGATACTTTATTAATGATGATACTATGTAGAAATGTAATTAAATAGAACGTAATAAATTGTTACCTTGTACCAATTTCTTTTATGTACGTGCTTCAAGAAAAAGATTGAGAACATCCTTATATTCCGCTGGTCAGTGTAGGTAGATAAATTCCTACGACCTTGCTGGAATGGTTACTAGGCAGGGTGTTCTATAAGAGGCTGCGGTTTTGGAGTAATAAACAGTAGGCAAAGTTAATCACTGAGCCGGTTGTAAAAGCACTTTTTATTTGCTAAGGTTCGTCTTCGAAATTGTCATTAGGTTCCACTTCGTCTTTAAATTCTGCGTTGTTTTCCATGTCTTCTTTTAACACTGGTCCCCATGTGCTTCATTCCACAGTCTCCACATTTTAAAGTCTTAAAAAACAGGAACCTTCAAGGAATTCTAAAAAAAAATTCTTATCGACCTTGAATATAATATATAGTCTTAAAACATCGAAAAACTATGTAGAAGGCACAAAGATACAAGGAAGAATGTTGTTAATCGCCAGGCACACGAGACAACAATTATTATTTTCAAACTTACCCATAACATATATAGAGTACTTACTTAGCTTTGAACTATCCAGTGAAAACAGCCACACACGGTCAAAGCTCGAGAATCAGGTACATAAATACGTATTTACTGGAAGGATCACATTCGAATACCTCCGTAATATATACGAACGTATTGCAATTTAGATTAAACACTTAAGAACCATACGTATCCCCTGAGGTTAAAATAAACGCTTCTACTAATTCGAAAATCACCCGCAGCATCAAGGCTTGATCAAATTTAAAACGGTCTATTTATTTGTCAAATACAAATTTCAAGTTTCTGCAAAATACTTAAAACGTCAAAGCAATAAATGCTCTATATTTTTGGTCGTATTATAATCAACAGCGACTTACCGCCGGTTACGGTTAAATCCTTCGGCAGTAACGGACTCTTCTCCCTATCGCTCGATAAGCTCGACAATCCGGAAGGCGAGACTTGCTGGTTGGTTGCCCCGCCACTGTCCACTCTGAGTTGACGCAAAGACTGTTTCCTCTCTTCGGCTTCCCTGTCCCTCTTCGTCATCGGAGCGTACATGTATTTGTGAATGGAGTTGATGGTGTGCGTTCCTACCAGCGTGTACCTCCCGAAACTGCGACAATCCACGGCCCTAATGGTGAGAGGTGGTCGGTACAATTCCTGTTCCGGCAAATCCAGCTCGAGGAACTTAACGGGGGTGGAAAAGTTCGGATTTTTCCTAAAACGAAACGATCGTCCGTATTTCCACCCTTATAATTATCAATCTAGTTCCTGCCTCGAATTGGGTATGATGCTGGAGTACAATATGTGTCCGGAGCAGTCTATATCGACTCGGGGTTTGTCCACCGTCAGCAAATGTACCCGCTTCAGGTCGCGCAGGCCCCAGAAGAGGACCTCGATGCGGTACCGTGCCAACGTGGGTCTGATCCCTTTGGGAACCGGAAGTAACGATCCCATATCGGGCAGGTTGCCGTCTTTGTAGACGGCAACCTCCTTCGGCTGGGGTAATACGGGTAGCGAACCCTGGCTAGGTATTTCTAGCAATTCGAACGTGGCCAAAAGTTCACCGGCGTGATCGGCACCCCGCGTGATTGTGTACCATTCGAGAGACGGTTTGACGTAAGCGTCGTCGCGTAGTTTCACGTGGGGTTTCGCCATCGCTCTGCCGATGAACTCCGATTTGCCTACTTTGTCTTGATCGAATATTTCGATCACTATCGATATCGGGTTCTTTTTGATTTCGGCGGAGCAGCCGTAAATCAGGATTTCGTCGAATATCAACAGTTCGTCCCAAGTAGGGCTGAGGGTTTCGTCGATCACCTGGGTAGTTTTACAGAACTCTCCCGCCACGACCCTCGCGAAAGGATCGGACAGGCCCGAAGCGTCGCTGCCTATCAAGGATCTCGCCTGGTAGATGTGCGCACGCATCTGGAAAACCTGGAAAGGTGGATCGAGCTGACGAATCAATCATACCAATTATTTACGAAACTTCTGTTGTTGTTGAGTCGAACTTGCTAATGTTTCGCCAATCAGCCTGTTGGCTTCTTCAGAGCTTAACTGAAAGTGGGTTCAGTTCAGTTTAGTTTCAGTTAAGCTCTGAAGAAGCCAACAGAATGATTGGCGAAACGTTAGCAAGCTAGACTCAACAACAATCGACGCAGAAGTTTCGTAAATAATATTACAGCAGAGTGTGGAAGTTTCTTTGAAAAATTATCAATCATACGTGTTTCTCGACGTAGTGCACGACCGAGGGCGGTAGGGCGCGAGGTCTCTCCACGTTCCGGATTTCCTGCGACATCTCGTACCCTTTGGGGATGCCCGACACGAAGTGCTTTTTATGTTTGAGCATCCCCAGCCAGAGATAAACGTTCAGTTTGGCGGGTATGGACCAGCCGCTCGGGCCTGTGCCCCTTTTACCCGGAAGCTGTAAGCGGGAAGTTGCGAAGTAGCTTCGGATTTCATTAAACCCAAGCGGTTTGTTATATTAGTGTTATGAGCTAACTAAAAGTTACAGCATCCAATAACTACGGGCTTTATATTTGCTCTTTGCCTACCCCTTTGACGCTTCCAAATCCTAAGCTTTTTGAACCGTGGCGAATGATTTTAGTGGTTCTGAAGTTTTTCTGCGAATTTGGAAAATGTTATTGTTTTGGTAAAAAATGACATGGTTAAAAATTTATTTGATTTGCGTGTAAGGGCGGCTTCTAGAGAAAGAAAAATTAACCCGTTAATAATAACTCAACGGTTAACTGGTAACACTAAAGTGCGCATCAATCATCACCACTCCACGTTCAGAAGGATCGAGCACTTACAATAGGAAAGAAAGACATGGATATATTTATTACCAGTTATTTAAAAAAAACTGTTAATGTTTTTATTGTCAAATAATTTTTATTTTTATCATTTTCTCGTTTCTTGACTTTTGCTATTCATTATTTTTATCTAAGTACGTTTTGTAAAACATTGTCTTTTCAATTCTTGTTACAGTTATTCCGTTTTTCTCTTAAATGGTGCACGTGACCCGAAACCTTTTTGATGCAGAACCCGCACAGCTTTACTACTGATAGGTTTCACTCTCATTTATCGATCCATCTAACCTAATTTTTAACAATTTTTTGGGATCTGACTCACTTTCAGAAACATAGTCTGCATGCGTCCGCAATCTTTCCCCCTTTCTTCGTCGACAATGGAGTAGATAATGTCTCTGGCGCGGATACGTTGATATGCTTGTCGTTTTCCGCCGCATATAATCCAGAGAAACACGTCCGGCAGTGCGTGTTGCGGCTGGAACACCCCAGAATACACGTTTTCCTTTAAATCATACAGGGTGTTCTGGAATCATCGTCCTAAACGTTTTTTTTTAATGACGAGGTTATCTTTGTTATTGGAGGCCACTCTTTCAAAAACGCGATGGCAAACGCGTTTTTGAGGTTGCTATGAGAGACGCTCAATTGGATTAAGATCAGGACTGCAAGCTGGCTAAACCATTCGTTCCACAATGAATGAGCGAAGGGGACAGGATATTCCAGAACATCTTCGGCGTTTAGTGCTTCGTTTTCAAAAAATTTTAATTCTCTACGGACGTCATCACATACAGAGCCGCCACTGACATCTCGGGAAAAATTTGTAACGAACTGTACCGATGAAATCAGTCTGGCGTGATGAGGCCATACGATTTGTTACCCGTAAAATGTTCCAAATTTCAGGAAAAAAGTTCAAATCAATCGATAATTTTTTAAAAAATGGTCCAAATCTGATCAAACCGACAGCGATTTAAAAATTTTCATTCATTCAGGTTTACTGAATTGTCTAATGCAAATATTACCGTTGGAAGAAGGAAGAAAACAACAGATACATCAAGCAATTTTTACATTTCACCGTAACAATTACGACGGAATACAGGGAACAACGAAAACGACATTTACACCGTCCGTTTAGTCTGATCAGTGACGCCCGAATCGTTTGCCGACTATACTTACGTCCTCGGTAAGGAATTTCAATTTCGCCAAGTAACCTTGAGCCGTCTTGAGGCGGTCCCGGAAGGAGCTCCTCGTAACAAGAGCTTTCAAATTCCGGGATGCGTTCCCGACGTGTTCCTGAATTAATCCCCGTTAGGCGCGCCGATCGCGAATATTTTATCGCCTTACTATTTCGCGTTGGCACATTTTAAGCCGTTCCTTGTCTAATCTCGTCTTCCCCGTTCCCGGTCCAGTGACGCTCGATTTCGATACTGCGACGTATTTCGTGCAACCTACAGACAAATCTTCCAGCACTTGTCGGAGTTTAACTTCCGCTTCCGGGTCCTCAGAATCAGCCGCCACGCTCACCTCTTCTAACCCGTAGTCCTTCGGCAAAAAGGTGCAAAATGTGCTTTTTCAGAGGGAGAATGATATGATACGATACGATCTTTATCAACTTGCAAAGTAAAATACTAATTTTTAACTATTAAGAGATCTGTGTTACAGCTTTAAATTCTACAATCGAGTAGAAACAATGACAACGACTAGATATTCTTTAACTTCCTCTTCAAAATATATTTAGAGAGGGAGAAGTTAAAGTGAAAAATATTTGTAATTTTTCAATCACAAGAAAACAAAAAATTACAGTACGGCTCTACATGATTTGCTCAGAGTACTGTCATAATCCCTCTATTACGAACAGTTCAATGAGCCTCGTGGCACTCCAAGTCGTATGGATTTTACACACAGTGTGTTCTACACGATAAACACTACTTAATCGGCGTCAAATCTGCATCACAAATTACATACGTTTTCATTGTAACAGTTAAAAGCCCTTGAGAGACTTAACTGTGTTAAGTAACCCTACTTACCGAAGTTACATACTGTATCGATTGTAGACCGACCCCAGCGAAAACCAAAATGATTACAGGGAATTGAGATCTTTCGTACCATTTTCACGAAATTTTATAAATTAAAAAAGTATGAAAATGCAACAGAGCTCACAAATAGTAAGAGAACGAAAGAATTTTTTTAATCATAATTGGTAGAAGGGCAGGGTTTAGATCTTTTGTGAGTGTTGAGTGCCAGTTTTTTCTACATACCAGTTTATCGGCTATTTTGGAGATTATGTTGGAGTTGTACATACGCCTTCGGTAGTCGGGCCATACCGAACGTACGTGCATGCAGGGTTTGTTGTCCCAATAGGGTAGGAAGTAGTAGATTTTGTCGTGAGTCATAGGTCTCGTGGGGGTGGTCGTGCTTTGCCACGATGCTGCCTCCGTGGTGACGGTTTCTGCGCCAAATTTCGGCAGCTTTAAAATACGATCGTACCGAAAATATCCAGGATTGTGATTAAATATTACTCAACTCCATAGACTTACGTTTTCTCGACAGTTTGATAGTGAAAAAAATGAAAAAGTTTTTAATTCGAATATTAATATGAAATTAGCCATAACTAATAAGGTAAGTTGCATTGGATTGAAGAAAGGCACGCATAAATTTCTCAAATTAATTGTTCATTTGATACATATTTTTTTAAATGTATTATCTAATTGCAGAAATAAATATTATTATTATTATATCCTGCCTCTTAAATGACCCTCCCCTAAATGTAATTATGACCTTCCTACTTTGTAAACCCCACAATTAATAATTTATATTTCACCTGGATACCCAAATAAACACGATATCATGCCTAGCCTTTCTATTTTTAAAATACACTAAAATTCTTTTTTTTTGTATTGCCCTCATAGGGTTATAACTATTTATCTGTGAAAGTCACAAGATTTTAGAAATACCCAGCTCGTCGCTGTCCGAATCGTAATGTTCGTTGTGCCCGTCGATAGCGTTGCCGGCGTTTCCCATACTGATTTCGAAATACACGGGTTTGTCTCCCAGCTTTTTGTCGATCATGGAAGCGTCAAAGATGGCGGAGAATAAGAAAAACTCCTCGTTTTTTGCGTACGACGCTTCGTTGACTGCTATCGTCGGTTGTAGCTCGACAGCAGCAGGACTCAAGTCGATGCCGTCTGTTATTTCGGTGCGTATAGCGATCAGCAGCCTGGCGCGGTACGAAACCCCTGCGGAGATCGCGATACAAACGCAAATTTTCAAAAGGCTGAGTGATCGATTCGGATGTGGATGGCTCTATTACTGCCGTGTGTTCTAATTAGTGTTGTTTCTTGAAAATTTATTTTTTGTTATTTTTTTGTTTGTTATGTTTGTTGATTTTGTTTGCAATTGCGGTTGCGGTGTGTGGTAACTGCTCTCAGCAGTTAATTAACAGAATAATTTCAACTAAACTATCAGTATTTTAAATACCTTTACTTATTGTAAATATATTTTTTTATCTAATTTAAGCATAAATCAAAACCATACGCTATTGTATTCACTCGTTTTACTCGGAGTAAAAAGCACAAAAGGACACGCAGTACATGTAGATACAGAATGCACATGGCTCTACTACTGGTCTCCAGATGGATCGTTTTGTTTGACACTTTTAATGTGGTATTGTAGCTGAATTTGTTTCGAAGTTTCCATTGAATTAAGAAAATATCAACTTCGGAACATTTTCGAGGCATATTTTAAATAGATTTGCTTCTGGAAAATTTATTTCTTGTAATTTAATTTCATTCGCAATTTAGGAAAAAATCATAACCATACGTCACTGACAGCATTTACTAGTTTTGATCGGATTATAAAGCAGAAAGAAGGGATAGTTACTATATGACTAATTATCATATATATGATGTTCATTACAATGTCGATCCAGAATCCACATAGGTCTACTACTAGCCTCCAGGTGAATCGCTATGTCTGACAATACATTTTTGTGACGCACAAGTCAAATTTATTGTTAATAATAGTAAAAATCTCCATTAAATTAAGCAAATAATAACTTCAAATGGTAATATTTTCGAGATATCTTTCTTCGCAATTAACAGAATATTCTCAACTAAGCTCTCAGAGACGAATAGCGATACCACTGCCACATGTTTTAAATAGCTTTGCTTCTCGAAATTGTATTTCTTGCAATCAGATTTCATGCGAATCGAAAATTCTAAGAATTATGAATTTTAGGCCGAAATCAAAAACCATACGCTACTGACAGCATTTACTAGCTTTGATCGAAGTATGAGCCAGAAATGTGGCATAGTTAGAAATCACATAGCTCCACTACTAGCCTCCAGATAATGATTAATTAATTTTTAAAAAAATCGTACCCATGAAACACTAAAATTTAATCATTTTTCATACAGGGTGATACGTTTGACCACCAGTGTACGTAAGGTTCATTTCAAACCGTATCTCGCGACGTGCAAGGCAAAAAGTAATTTACCTAAAAGCCCTTGAGTACTCACCCTCGCCCAAGCCAGCATTAAGACTGGAGTGCTCGTCGATCAGGCTGTAGTCTCTGGTCGAACCGTACAAATGTACGAAACTGGGCCCGAAGGTGGGCATAAATCCTACGGGGAGAAACCCGAACTTACACGAAAAGTTACGAACCCGACGGGAACACCACAAATGGTCGAATGGTTGACAATCCCGAACTGAGTGCGGTTCCGTTTCGGAAAGTCTCAGTGAGTCCTGTTTCGTCCCGATGTAGCAGACGGTCGAATGTCAAATAGCTGTTTCGTTCGAATGACGTGGTTTTTACATAGGAATAAGAACACTTTACGAATTGTTTTAAAGATACAGGACGTACATCGGGTGCTAAATCCGCACAGGACCCAAGAATTCCTATGCACACGATCAATTATTGTTTACACAAAAATTTAGGTTAATTTTACCCGCATTCAAAAGAATATTTTTTATTAACCCCTGAGTATGTTTTTGAATATTTTATACTTATTTATTACAGCCACCGGCTAAGGTAAAAGTCTATCAAATCAAATTTTTCGAAATTTTATGAATGACAACATCGACAACAAAGTTCCTTTTTTTAGCAAAGTAGATAGGGTTTCCACCTGATGATGGTAATAAAACTGATTATAAGCTGACTGGATTCACTGTGCAATTTGTCCCAGCCAGTGGCGAGTGAGCCTCGGGATAACACATTTATGAGCCCCTACCACTAGCTTGCTTTACAAATAACATGGGATACAGCCACATGAGAATCACATAAAAATGTACTTATGGTGCTACGAAAATACTTCTACAGCATTGTGGACATGGCTTCTAGACTTACGGCCTCATAGCGGCCCGGAAATGTCCTCCCTTAATTGCCACATAAAATCTTTTGATGTTGCATTGGTGTAGTAGAAAACATTTGTACTGATTTATGATGTGAAACTGTTCAAGTGTTACAAGGTTCACTAGGAACTGGCTAGGACAAATTGCACAGTGAATCCAGTCAGCTTATGATCAATCAGTTTTATTCCCATCATCAGGTGTAAATCCTACCCATTTTACTGAAAAATGAATTTTGTTGTGGACGTTGTCGTTTCATAAAATTTCAATAAATTTAATTTGATGGACGTCAACTCTTACCTTAGTCGGTGGCTGTAATCAATAGGGGGCGATAATTACGATAAAATATTCAAAAATATACTCACGGGTTAATAAAAAATATTCTTTTGAATGTGGGTTGCAGCACCCTTCGATAAAATTAAAATACATTTTTTTGGAAACAATAATTTCATAGGACTTCATGTGTCCTGTGCGAATTTAGCACCCGATGTACGTCCAGTATCTTTAAAACAAGCACTCTTTTCCTAATTCGTATTCGGATTATACCTATCTAGTATCGACTGTCAAATTAACCGTCTGCTACATCGAGATCCCTCACGAAACGAGACTTTCCGAAACGGGAACGAACGTCGTTCGGGATTTTGGACAATTTGAACATTCGACCATTTGCTACCATCTCAACCCGACAACGTTCAAGAGCTGTGCGCAGATCGAATGGTTTGGAGTGCGAGGAAGCTACCTAATCTCACCCTTCTCTCCGTCGTTCGAGATCGTTTTCAGGTCGACGAAGTGAGTACCGATGACCGTGGGTTTCATCGGGTCGTCGTCTCTCAGTTGGATTTTGATTCGCTGACACAGCGGCGGGAACATTTCCGTAAACACCAGTTGCTCGTTCCATACGGGGGCGTAGCTGTGCTTTTTCACGCTTGTTTTTCCCTGGAAATTGTACGAAAGTATTGGAGGAAGTTTATCGCCTCTTTCGCCATCGCACTATGCAGGAAGACGTAAAACTGCACGACTAGAGCCTTACCAAGATTATTACGAACATAGTCTTCAGGTAGGGCGATTCTTAATAAGGTGCTGATACAAAGAAAGTTAATATCAGTGCTACCACTTCATTTTTGACATACAGAGCATTGAAAATATTTAAAACAATAGTTGAAACGTACCTTGCGTTCAATTTATCTTGATAAGATTTGAATTGGCTGCCACTTTTTTGTTTTTAGGTAAACAAGAAAACAAAATGTAGGGTTAGTAGCCAAGTTTTTCACCAAGTGACGTATAAAACAAAACACTACCAATTTTCTGACAAATATACATCATATGTTTTTAAATGGAACACCCTGTATATTAAATATGTGTTTAATAGAATATGTAATTCCGATTCTTGTATAATTGCAAAGAGTGCCATGACTGACTACAACAACAATGATTATTTACAAATTAAAGTAGAACATAAACACTAAAAATGAAAAGATACAATAAAAGTTAAATATTCTTTAAATATTTAGTAACGTTTCTGGATTGTCCCTTAACTGATTGATTGCCTCTCCAATCCTTTGCCCAAGTTCCACGACATTACGGCAAGGCATTCCGTACACGTGATTTTTTTGTGTCCCCAAAAGAAAAAATCCAATCCATAGTTCCGCCTTTTCCTATCCAACCCCTGGGATATTACATGTTATTGTTCTATTTGTTGCTCTGAAAGTTGCAAATAATGAAATATCGGACCCAAAATATGCCCATCCATGACACCGCACAATACATTAATTGACTGGTATCTCTGGGTTTATATTTCGTGTGTTTATATGGGATTATTTAAAGACTAATATCGTGTATTTTGTCTATTACAACCATTTCTTGTAGTAAACGAACTTTCATCAGTCCATAAAATGTTTTTGCCAAAAATTGTTATTCTCATTACGTCTATTTAAAAAATCCAAACAAAACTGCATCCTCCTTTGACATTGTTCTGGTAGTAGTAGGTAGTTTTTGATTTTTACGAAATTTAAATGCATTATATTTATATTCTTTCAAAACTGAGTGGACTAATCTCCGAGAAATACCTGTCCTAATATGTTTGCCTTATTTTCTGTTTCTAAAAAAATATAATTCCGGCATACCTGTTTAGCATTTAATACGTTACCGTCTTCTGAAAATTTCCAGTCTTGGAAATATCTCTTTTGAAGGAGCTCGGCGCTCTGGATAAAGTCCAAGATACTGACTAGGAGTTGCGGTTGCACTTTTATTATTCAGAAAGTAAACTTGAAGCATATCACTCTATTCGTGGATGCTAAATTCGCGAAAAACCATTGTAACAATAATGACATGGACAATAATTCAACCATCAGCGTTGTCTAATAATATGTAAACATATTTTTATTAGTCAGTCAGGGCACTCTTTGAAATTATTTTGAAATTTCCTATTTTTGCCGATTTTTCAAAAACGAGTGGACTAAAATGTAAAGTGTGTTATTATTGTAATCGAAATAAGGTATTCTAGTAAACACATATATAATATATAGGGTGTTTCATTTAATGATGTAGGCTTATATAAATAGATAGTATTTTTTTTATACGTCACTTGGAAAAAACTTGGCTACTAATCCAACATTTTAATTTAACCAACCAGTAATGCTACCAATAATAGTAAAATTTAAAAAAAGCAAATGAAACAAATGCAATATTATTGCCTAAAATAACTATTAATATTTCGCCAATTACTAACGAAATGGCAGAGTTTTCATGATATGCCAAAGATGAAATGTTTATGTTATTCTTCAAAGGTAATCAGACTTCAAAATTTTATTTGTCTGTCCTTTGCTTAAGATAGTTTATTTCGGCATTTGATTGACGCCATAAATTTCAGGTTTTTTCGAAGCGATGGAGATAAGGGGGGGGGGGTTAATTACCGTTAACCCGGCGAAGGACACTTGCACGTAGGGATTGACCAGGTCGTTGATTTCCCCGGTGAAAGCCTTTTTCACGTTCGCCATCAGCGAGGAATTCATCTTCGGCAGCCCATCCGCGCGGTATATTTTGACGATAAAGTGCGCCCTCTGTCGGTCGGTCGGAACACCATCCGGCAAAAGAAGGTTTCTATCGAGAGAGGGTATCGTTAAATCATAGAAGCGCCGATAGAGGACCCTATAATCTCGCGACCTCTAGCGGTCCTTTTTGGTGTTGAAGAGTTATTAGCAATTGTACGTGAAAAAACCCAACACACTTGAGAAATTGGTCGTTTAATTTTTCCAAATCGAACTTCACTACCGGTTATTTTAAAATTAAATAACAACTGCGACAATTGCATTTAACCTCGACATACATTCGCATGAACAATTTTTTCATAATTTTGCTTTAACAAAGTATAGTCTCAATCTTCATCGTTATATGTTCCACATTGGTGGTTTATTTATTTAACTTGTCAACGTGTATCTTTACTTACTTTGCACTTTTATTTTATAAATGCAGATGCAGAGTTAGTTTTTTTTATTTCATTTATTTTTTATTAGTAAGTTGGCAAAGTTCTTATTAGTAGTACATCCTGTTTGATTGTTGTAATAAGCAAAACTTAATACCACATATATATATATATATATATATATATATATATATATATATATATATATATATATATATATATATATATATATATATATATATATATATATATATATATATATATATATATATATATATATATATATATATGCTGACACTATATTCCGGGATATCATCCGTTCGCTTGTTGAACTCCGACTGGAATTCTGCAGACGTTTCGCCAAAATCTCACTTGGCATCTTCAAAGCGCGAACATTTTTCCATCCGTGAATCAATACGTGAGAATATATATATATATATATATATATATATATATATATATATATATATATATATATATATATATATATATATATATATATATATATATATATATATATATATATATATATATATATATATATATATATATATATATATATATATATATATATATATATATATATATATATATATATATATATATATATATATATATATATATATATATATATATATATAAATAATTAAATTTTCTAGTGCCTAGGTGTCATTTCATTTTGTCTATTTTTCGGTACTTAAGTCACATTTTAAAAACAACTCTCTCTGATAAACACCATCTATTTTCCTTCCTATTAGATAATGATCACTATACGGTGATTTAGAAAATCACTATTAGTAATATCCCTCGTCAATATTGTCGTTTTTGTAAGTAGACAGGTTTTTTTAAAAGCTTCTTGCTTAATAAGTCTCCTACTGATTCAAGTTTATACACATTTTTCACAACCTGTTTTGCATCGAGCGACAAATGAATTCGGCGCGGCACTGTCATATTCTCGCAAAATAACTTTTTTGAAACGTTCAACACGATGAAGATTGAGACAGACTATACCTACTACGTTAATGATATACCGATTTCAATGCCTTTTCATGTTAAAGAAAAGGTCGTACCAGCTCTACTGGTTAAATTGCTGACGTAACGGTGGGGAAGAAAATATGCCACGTTCAAAATAGTGCCGGAAAATTCTATGGCGTTCCGGCCTGACGTTATGCGTTTAACAAATTGCATTATTATTATTTAAAGTGACTTTCGGTGCAATTCGGTGCCACTCGTTTCGTTAAATGGAAACTAAACAAATTACGTATCGATCGGTTCGGAAAATACGGTTAAAACGTCGTCGACGTCGACGGCACAAACTCGAAAGTAACCGGAAAAACGTGCCATGTATGCAATATTTCAAACCAGCGACAAAGCCTACATAGGAAATTTCTATTTCTTCTTTTCCGTCTTGGCGAACATATACGGCCAGGGGTAAAAAGAATAGAAAAGATGGGGTGTCTTTTTCTGTAGTAGATACGAACTTTCCCAAACTAGCAAATCGCTTCATTAGAGAACAGCAACCCGTTCACATTAAAATGTCCCCCACTACTGCAATGAAAACTTATCAAAACGAATTTCCTTTAAGTTATCAACGAAATTGATGAAAGTAGCTATACTCATATGTAAAGAGACCTGGAAGAAACAAGTAAGAAGCAAAAATTGATTCCAAACCCTCATAGCTTATCTACTGTTATGTCAAATCATTTCAAGGTCTTTTGCTTAGTAGCAATAAGCTGTCTCATAATGGAATTAAAGCATAACGTTGACACGGTAACTGAAACGAAGATAACTTAGCAAAACGAATTTATCTGAAGGTAAATTGAGAAAAGAAGCTGTATTCATCTGTAAAGGGATAGGGAAAAACTGGTACTGATGAAGACTAGTTTTAATCATTTACGAGCTTACTGTCAGGTCAATTGAGAATGCATGCAATTTTAAAAGATGTTACTTTTTACAAAAGCAAATACTGATTAGTCAGATTTCGTTTAAATCCAGTTGGACGGTGGATTTCATTCACGCGCTTTGTAGTCTTTAGCCTCCTTTGTATTCCGTTGTTACATTTCGAAGCTGAATTTGACAGTTTACTTTGTTGTTAGATTCGCAATTAGCTAAAGTGGTAAGCAGCAAAAATTACCCAAACCCTAATAGCATATCTACTGTTACGTCAAATTGTTATAAGATTATTGACATTTGACGCGTCAATAGGGTAAGAACGTTCTATTTAAGCAACTCAGTTGAACCAATTTCAACAAAAAAAAACTTTTTCTTTAACTAATTGTATAGAAATAACAAATTTAGCTTCATTTTGCAAAAGAAAACATTTGTTAATTATTATCATATAAGCGTAGTTATTAACTATAGTTTTAAAAAATAAACAATCAAATTTTAATTAATATTTCAATATTCGTGAATTTTATGACCAAATTTCACTATATTTTATTGTCCTCGCTTAATCTTACTCTGATTCGCGTAAGTTTACGTACGTCTTCTATATTTTTGACTTCTGTACTTACCACGACAAACGTCTTTTGCTTTTTTACCATTTTCAATATCTTTTAAAATAAATTAATCAACAAAAACTAATAGAATTCTATTCTATTTAACAGAAATCCGCTTTAACACTGGCAGCACACAACCCAAACATAATTCAGTATCAGAATTTGTTACAGTTTGAGGTTATGTTGCCGTGGACAGCTATTTCACTTCACAACTCAAATATTTAGCTTTAAGAAAAGTTGCTTCTGGAGATGTTGCTTATATAGAGCGTTCAATGTATTCGATTCACTGGAGGTGACTTTCGAGTACTGGGCTAGTTTTTCTTACGCCTCGATGTCGTCCTCGTCTCTCTCGCTCTTGGGGGGCACCTTCACGGTGTCCCCCTTGCCGATGACGCTGACGTCGCACTTCAGGTAGCCCTTGGCCCCCCCGGCGATGTCGTCTGGGTCTGTCAGCAGCGCCCACTTGTGGTAAAACTGGTGATCTAAACAATTTGTGGTTATGATCAACTCCGGGTGACGATGAAGCTTGGTGGTGCAGTGCGATAGGACCAAGCGCAGGCAAGCGGCAGAAATAGAAGCGCGTAGATGGTTATGGTCCCCGAAAACACAAAAGGTCAAGTTAGGTTTTCATTTGTTTTCCTTTCCGATGAAACTTTTTGACGATGGTGTTTATGGCGTCGACCCAAGGTGATTAGTAGAAAGTGTTTCATTAATTGAGATTAATTCATCAGTGGGATCAGTTTTAATGTGGCACTATCCTTCCTCACACACATAACACATTTGAAATATCTTAAGATATTTAACTTACGCTGTATATCTTTAGTTTTGATTCGTTGTCAAAAGTAGTACATTGTTAAAACAATTGCAAACTTAAATTATATGGTTGCTATCAAGGCAGACTTGACCATTCTTAAACAATATGGCTATTCTCCCAAAAATCGAATGATAATTATTTTTAAACTGAAATTTCTCAAAAACGGTTAAATGAAATGTCAATACGCTATAAGTTTTTGAAATCAAAAAAGGATCTACGATTTAAGCTAATAATATATTTGAAAAAAATGATGTCATTTTGACAGCTTGCGATCGTCGTTTGTTTTTCTGACATTTGCATAAGATACACTTTTTTCTCTATTTTTGAAAATTAATCCTGTAGGGTCGAAAAAAATAATGAATAACCATGCACCGTTAAAGTTTTTATTTCTAATTTAAAAATTTGAAAATATTAGCAGAACAGAATTAAGTTATGTTCTAAAATGCAATTATATTTTACATATTTTATGATATAAGCCGCCGTTTTTGATATTAACTAGTTCAGGCTTCATAATTCAACCATTATTATTAATATTCTAGTTGCGACCGCAAAACGTGCCCCGAGCACAGATAATAAACGAGCGTTCCAAGTTTGGAAACTGGATTGGTTAAATTTGAATTTGCCGAGAATTATTTAGCATATTTTGATGCTAAAGGGCACAAATACGTCAAAATAAAGACCTATTTAATTTGTACAACGGGCAAAACCGTTGGTCCTTAATTGACCAATGAGTGACCAACATCTAATACACAAGAAACAAAAAAAAGAAAACCTTCTTCGTCACACGTCAAATTTGACATATTCTCATGAATTGTCCGCTTAATAACCCGATCAAGTTAGACATAAAAATAGCTAACTTACCCAAACTAACATTAAGTTCGACGGAAATGCATTTCGGTGGAGACTTTAGCTCTCGATCGGGCCCAAGGTTATTTGAATATCATAAGTGTTAATGTTTTAATCTGTTTTATACTCTTCCAATATTTCGTTTGTCTTTTTCTTGGTGTCTCGCGATCGATATAATCTGTTCGATTCAATTGAACTTTGGAGCAAAAATAACCGTTCTAATTAGTAGTCTCTGATTAACACGACACAAAAACACTTATGAGAGTAGTCTACCCCTCTATCTCATACCCTTTGATTTAACCAATTTCAATGAAAGTATTATTTGGATTTACGTATTCTTATGTATTGCAGCATTCCATTCCTTGTAAATTTATGCTAAAAAAACGTGATAAAGTATTTACAGAACATATTGACGCGGTGTATATTCCACCCGAGGTGGATACCTTTACTGATACAGCTGTCCTTCAACAGTTCTGTAATTCATCAACTTCTGAACCTGAATGGGACTCATGAGATGATGAAACCCTGGAATTCAAAAGAATACGTATGCTTTCTGCGAACGACAGGCTTGCTTCTACTGTCAAATGAAAGAAAGGTCAGATTGAGTACTCTCACACACCAATATCCGATGAATTTAGATCATGTGAGGAACTAAAAATAGGCTTTCTGGAAATATTTTTTATGTTTTTTGATGACGAAGTGATTGATTTGATTTTAAAATTTTCGGTAAAGTATGCTCAAGACAATAACCGCCATGAATTCTCGTTGTCGAAAAATGAACTTTTAAATTTTATAGGCATTTTATTGTTCTCGGGTTATCATTCATTGCCACATATTTAGCGTAATTGGTCTACCGATGAAGACCAAGGAATTGATCTTATGATATCAAGGTCACCTCATGATTATTCATGCTAATAAAGCCCGAAGGAGATCTGTCACAACCACACAATTTACGCTTGTAATAAGTGTAATGTGCATTTGCATGCTTCATGCTTTGTAAAATATCGCCAAAAATGAAACCGGGTGCGCTCACGCACCATAACACATGCGTTTTTTTGTATCAAATCAGCTTCTATTTGGAAAACAATCTACTAGTTATTTTCTGTCGAATTTTAACTTTCTTGTGTATATTTATGTATAAATTATATGTTACATCTTATGTGCTCCAAAACATTATTTATTGTTTTTCCCAGTGGTTCGTTTACGCACCAGTATTTTAATAAATAATTTCAGAGCAAAAAAAGTATTTTTTATTTTTTTTTATGCTTGGGATAAAATGGGTTAACCTTCGTTTCAGGTGTGTGTTGTTCTGCGGCCAAATTCGCTTTGCTTTTGTGAGAATGGTGACAAACTGTTTTAGGACAATAACATTACAAAGACTGTGAGGTGTGAGGTTTGTCAAAACTTTGCAGTGTGTCATTTTACTGATAATTACGGTTAATTTCTTATGTTGGTTGTTGTAGATTTCCAAGAAACGCCGAAACGCAGAAGTCAGACGCGGCGTGCGTTGTTAGGATTTGTGGAAAATTTGCAGAAAATCAAAAGCGACGCAGTGAAATTTGTAAAACGAGATGATTTCTCATAAATAATGTGAGCGAACAAAACGGTATTTCAATGAATTTTTCACTTTTATAATACATTAGCGTGAAAGAAATAAGGATTGTTGGCAATGACATTTCACATGAACTTAAAGCGATTATGATTTTATGAAGGTCTCCTTGTTATCTTCAATGCCTAGTTTGACAGTTTGACAGTACCATAAGGCACGATTTGCAATAAAATTTTAACTCTTCACCTAACGTTGTTTTGATGTTCGAATATATGTTGGCAACACAAGCGAGGGACCATAACCGAAGGCGAGAGGCCTCTACAGGGGTAAAGGTTTGCCTTTTTTACAGAACCGTGCCGTCGAAAAGGGAAACCCCGACAGTGACTGGCGGTACCTGGTTGAGCCCAAACTGTCGCGACGTCCAGCTTAAAGGTGCCCAGCATTTTGTTACCCCTGAGAAAGTTCCGCGATTGCAGCACCTGTCGGCAAGTAAATTTGAGCAAAACAAAAGGTCCCGCCGAAGGATGATACAGATAGAGGACGATAGACTGTGCAGCGGTTCGTTTCGCGGATTAAGCCGGCCTGTTGTTTTGGCAGTTGGCAGTATCTGCATAGTGTGTTACATCACCTCACTTCTATCGGCTAACCCAGTGGTGGGGAAACTTTTTTTAAGACCGGCCATTTGTAATAACTAGAACTGCGCGATTCGATTGGTCAAAACAGCAGGCTGGCTTTCGAGAATTATTTTGCAAAACATTTGTACCGGCCGAATCGTAAACCGTTCCGACGTCCATCTTGAACGTTCCCACCATCTGTTCGGAGCCGAGTAGGGCCTTCCTAGAATGTAACACCTAAAAATATTTCATCGATAGTTCTCGAGGTTTTTTTCACGTCGTGAGATTTGACCCTGTACGTTTTTTTTTTATCGAATAGCAGACAAGCAAGCAAAGATGCTGTTTCTTCCGCGATCGCGGCTTCCCATCACCAGGTGGCGTGCGGCGCGTCGTCGGCTCGGTGGATTACAACGTTTTTGGTCCGTGGCGTTTGTTCGACAGGAATCGTGTCATGTTCCGTGTAAATTGTCCGTCCCGACTTAGGCGGGACGGAAAACAACGGGGCGGCTATGGACGACTTCAGTCAAGTCGCCTTTATTGACATTTGTCGTCCACGTCGCCAAAATATTTCCGATCGCGTGATATTTTCGAAAAAATCGGGGTGCATCAGATTGTGAGTGGTTCGCGAACAATCCGAAGGTGAGTTTTTAATTCTCCTTTGGTTTATTAATGTCGCTGGTGTTTCAAAATACCCGTCTATCTAACATGTCAAAAATTGATTAATTACTTACCGATAGCTGGATGATTTTGTCGAACAGCATCACGGGAGGCATATGGAAGTCGAAAACGAAGTACTGAAATGGAAAAGACGTTTTACGAGGGCCGAATTTATACGGTACTGGAGTAAATATATTTTTTCAAAAATCATTAAGCGAATTTAACGGCAACTTTGAACATTTTTGAACAATATCTGCCTTATTGGTGAGTTGTTAATTTAAATAATAGTCTTTTCCTAAACCATTTTCGTTTAGAACGTTTTTGTATCGAACAAGACTTGCCTCGTTGTAGTAGGGACAGTTGGTGCTCTCTTTCACGCTCGTGTATTTTTTCTGATCTCCCACTTGAATGCACACGACCGGGTCCATGTTCAGTCCGGCCAGTTGTCTGGCTTCGATGACCGTCAGGCACACCTGAAAATCCTGAGCCTTCAGCGCGGAATCGACGGCTGGTTGGTTGTTCTTCAGCTCGCTGTTTAATCTAAAAAAAAAAAGGACATTCTATCTCGCTTGCAGCGCAGTATTCCAAATTTGGACTAATATAGTGGGTTCTTTTGAAAAATATACCTTAATTAATTGATATTTATGGCCAAAAATTGCATTTACATAAAAAAATAGGGGGCAAATACTAACCGCACATAAGTTGGACCTAAAATACCTTACAACTAATTAATATTTTGAAAAAGAGTTATAGATATTTTGAATTTTATTTTTGCATTTTATTTATTTGATTGTAATTCTTCTAATATTTTGTTCAACCTTTTCTTTAAGCACTTTTTTGTCGACATTGAGATTTTTTCAGTTCATTAGATAATTTGTCCAATATCGGTTGGTTACTCATTTTTGAATTCACTATATTGATGCCCTATATAATTCGCCACAGACGCTTGTTTGTTATTCAGCTGTCTACCTGCATCTTGTTCCTTTACTCCGATATTTTTAAGAATACGTTTCTGAAGTCGATCCAGCCTATGACTGTATACACAGTAACACTATGGAAAAGACCATAATAAATTTGTAATAACTGCTTTCTTGTTAGTATTTTCTTTAGTCTATAAAAAACATGTACTAAGTAAGTTTTTTACTGTGTTAGCCACGTGAACATCCCTTTTTTTATTATCGTCATAAGTTATTCCTAGATATTTACTATTCTTTTCAGACTTAATTAATCTTCATTAATCAGTTTTTTTGACAGCAGCATATATTATCCAGAGTTGATGACATGACTGTTTAAAGTTTTGCTTTCATTGGTACTGCAGTATCATCCGCATATGCTATTAAAGTATCTTGCAAAACCAATAAATCATTTCATATTAGTCTCAGTATTGGACCCTGAGGCACATTTGTTTCGACATGCTGACTTTTCCATCTTTCAGATAATCTACTGCCATCAAGGTCAAACTTACACCTCTTATTCCCATATCCTGCAATTTGGGCACTAATCTAACGTGATCAACTGTATCAGAAGCGTTTGTGAAATCTAAAAACGCCACAGGATAAGAAGTCAAATTGTCTTAAACATAATATGTTGTATTTATTAAGGAAGTTGAATAACTTGATAAAAATATTTTTTTCAAAAAACTTAGCAAGTTGTTGATGCTTGAAACATTATATTCGGATTATATAGTATATCTGGTATTTGATGGTGTCTTAATGTAGAAGTCACGGTTTCATTCAGTCTAGATCACTGTGCATAGAAATAGGCCCCCACTGTAAATTTTTGACCTTAGTTTATATTTTTTTCTAGAAACTATTCATCTGACTCATAAAATAAAAATTCTGTTTGGAAGACAATTTAATATGCTTCAGTATGAGTTTAAATTTGTCAAGAGTGCTGATTGATTGAAACGTGTTCATGCCGTAGTTATAGCCTTTGCAAGTGAAATTTTCACATTTATTGATTTTAACCATTTGGACAGCGTTTAATTGTGTTAACTACGCCGCAAAAAGTCGCTCAAGTGGACTTCACCAGAAAGCTGTTGCTCGACAAAGAGTGTGCCAAAGTTCAAAGAGTGGCTATTAGTCAGTGGACAGTGAGAAGAAGACTGAAGGAAATTAACCTGACCCCAAAAACAAGTGCAATTGGTCCAAAACTTACTCCAGCTAATCGACAAGCACGCCTATTTGCACGGGATCATCTGAATTGAACATTGTACCAATGGGGGACTGTTCTGTTCTCGGATGAGACGAGAATATGCCTTTTTGGTAGTGACCGACGAAAAAAAGTGTACCGAAGACCAGAAAAGCGATTTGCAGAATGCTGTAATGAAGAGCGGAGTCCTTATGGAGGTGGTTCTTGCATGATATGAGGTGCAATTCGTATAGACTTACGAACCGACCCTGTTTTCATCTGTAAGGGTGGCCGTGGTCAAGGAACAGGAGGTTTAACAGGTGGTAGGTACATCGAGGATATTTTATCTGGTAACGACTACATTGGAAAAGAATTCATTTTAATGCATGCCAATGCTAGACCGCACACCGCAAGGATCGTGCAAAATTACATTACTGAAGTCGGTTTTCAGGTTATGGAGTGGCCAGCAGGTAGTCCCGACCTCAGACCATTTATGGGATGAGCTAAAACGAAGAATTTGAGCTAGACTTATTGCAGTGGAGGAACTTCCACAAGAAACAATAGCAAACTTCATTAGATCTATGCCTAAGTTGTTAATTGTCAATAACCCTTTTTTTTAGTAATTAAAAAAAATGTTAATTTGACTCGTGCAGTTATTTTACAAAGCTAAACATAAAAAGCAGAAAAAAAATTGCTACCAAAATGCTACCAACGTGTTGAGAACAATTTTAAAGCTTTTTACGGATATCTTTTCGATTCTTCGTGTGTGACGTGCAAAGGAAAATGCCTCGGGCGAGACAATCTCGCGAAAGAAAACTGCGCAGGCACTCTAAAGTAATATTCACTTTTGTGTGTAATGGACGGCTAATTACGAGCGTCGGGGAACGTGCTTTTATGTTATTAACGTCGTTCCGATTCGTTCTCGGAATGCTACAAAAGAGCTTTTGCATGTAGGACGTTAATTGGATAGAGTCTTAATGTTACTCGTTGCTCCGGTATAGTGAATACAGGTATGCGAGATTATTGATATATTTTCAAAGTAATTTTAATTGAAAACGTTATTTTATGAACGTGAATGATAGTTTCCATTATACAAGATATGTGTTAAGTATCTCAACACTCCTCCTGACGTTTCGCCATACATGCTGCAGGCTGATTTATTGATGGATTTTTTAGGTTAATGTGAGATGTGAGATTTTGGTGTTGTCGAATAAAATCTGGTTCCTGAATCGCTACGATGTTTTTAAACTGCTGATATCTGGCGTTCTTTTAAATTGGGTGGCATTTTTGAGAATATAGTTTTAATGTTACGTTTTTTATGAATTTTTTATATGTGATCGGTGTGATCTTAAACATAGGAAAGTACAGCATGATTGACGAAACGTCAGCAAATGCGATTTATCAACAACCGAGTCAGGAGGAAGCCAGAAGATTTGCAAATAGTAAGTTTAACAATTTTTTTTACGTCGTTCCTTTCGGTTAGTTTTGGCCAGTCGAATATAAACATGATCGCTCGTGGACGCCATGTATCGGGTCAAAAATATACCGTAATCGTTAGTATGCGATTTTAATAAACTTAGGGTTGTTGAATTTCGGGTTATTGAAAACAAAAGTTCGTTTTTTATCTCCTTAAAATCATGAATCTTTTAAATTTTTGTAATTTTAATTGATTATTTTTTAATTTCATAAGAATACGTATATTTTGTAGCAATAACAAAATATTTTAAAGGCCCTATAAACAATATAGTACAATATACACACCAAGTATTCATCAGACGCGTTTTTTGCATAAAAAATTCTGTCGAGACCTGTTTTTTCCCGATCCATAAATTGTCGTTGTCGAATATGTGTCGCGTATTTCTTTGGTGGAGTGAAACTAGTTCAAAATAGGTGAAAACATTTAAACGACTGTAAGAAAAGAAAATGTCATATGGTGGTTTTAAATTAAAACAACAGATCCAAATAAATCTGGATGTAGAGCGATTTGCAAAATATGCAAGAAAGAAATTCAAGGGATAGTGCAAAAACTGAAAATCAGCCTCGACATAGACAGTTTAAAAGGCAAAGATTGATAAACAAATATCAAAGGCAATTTTCGCTACTAATTCGAGCTTTTGATGCATTGAAAACTCCGAGGTAAAAAAAAGCCTTTTAGATGACATCTATGAGAAGGAAAATGCAAAATACGTGGGGCAAGGATGAAGTTGGAACCTTTTGAAAGAACTGATTTTTCCGTTTCCGAAAGTTGGTGCGATGATACATTTATTACAGTGCTTGGTAGTTGAGAAGAGTTTGATGGTTTTCCTAGTGTTGACGTTAGTTTGGTCCCAAAAGAGTAAATCATTTCAAATGTCGAGTCTATCCTAAACCAACTGCAATCTCAAACAGCTAATGAAATTCGATTCTCTCTCTCTCTCTTCAGTCGTTGTCCGTTTTCGGACGTCGTGACTCGTTCATGGATGTTGTGTAGTGACCCTTCGCCAGGCTTCTCTGTCCTCTACAGTACGCATCACTTGTGAGACCGACATTTGTGTGAGCTCCTTTATTTGATCTATATATCTCACTGGTGACCTTCCTCTTGCCCTTTTTCCATCAACCTTCCCCTGTATCATGAGTTTTTCCATACCGTCCTTTCGTATTACATGACCGAAGAATTTAAGCATACGTCGTTGTATTGTTGGTAATAATCTCTCATTTTCCCGTACTTTTAGTTCTCTTAAGATGGATGCGTTGGTGCGGTATGCTGTCCAGGGTATTCTCAGCATTCTTCGGTAGCATATCATTTCAAACGCCTCAATTCTTCTTCGAGATGCAGCATTTATGGTCCAGGATTCCGAGCCATACTCTGCAATGGGGAACACTAAAGATTTCACAAGTCTTGTTTTAGTTTCCTTGCGGATACGGTGGTCTTTCCAGATTTTAGCCAGCCTTCCCAAAGCCTCCTTTGCCATCCCAATTCTTCTTTTAATCTCTTGTTCTGAACCACCTCTATTTGTTATCTTCGTGCCCAGATAAATAACCTCTTCTTTAACTTCTATGTCCTGGACTTGCTGCAGTGGTAAAGGAACTGTTCCTGCCCGGTCTATTATCATCAGGTGGCATTTAGATCTATTTAGTCGCAGTCCGCACTCCAGGCTTACTTGCTCGATTCGTTGTAATAGTACACACATTTCTTGTTCGTTTTTAGCCACTGCGATAGTGTCGTCTGCGTATCGAAGGTTTGATATCTTTTTCCCTCCAATAGATACGCCACCCTTCCAGTTCCCCAACGCCTTCCTCATTATCCATTCTCCATAAATGTTGAAGAGTATGGGGGAGAGAATACATCCCTGCCTTACGCCTTTTCCAACTCTAAAATTTCCTGAGTATTCGTTTCCTATTTTTATTTGGGCTAGGTTGTTGTCATATAGCTGTTTAATAAGGTAGGTTAGATGGTCGGGGGCTCCCATTTCTTTTAAAACGTACCACATTTTATTCCAGTGCACCGTGTCGAAGGCCTTGCTATAATCCAAGAAGCATAACATAGCAGAGACATTGTATTCAAAGAGCTTCTCCACCATCTGTCTCACATTTAGAATTTGATCTCTTGTTCCTCGTCCTGGCATAAAACCTGCTTGTTCTGGGGGTATATTGGGGAGGAGGTAATTTTTGAGCCTTCCTTGTATGATGTACAGTAGCACTTTGCTTGCGTGGTTTATTAAAGCAATTGTTCTATAATTACTGCAGTCGTCTTTTGGGCCTTTTTTGTGTAATGGGATATATACAGATTTCGTCCATTCTTCTGGCCATTTTCCCGTTTCCCATACCTTTTGACAGATTTGGTGCAGCAAGGTAATACCTTTGCCTCCAGTGCATTTTAACATTTCCGCTACAATATTATCTGAGCCTGGCGCTTTTCTGTCCCTAAGTTTTTTAAGAGCTGTTTCAACTTCGTCTCTCAGAATTTGTGGTTCACGTACCCGAGTTTCAAGTGACAGGCTCTCTGGTAGGTCCATCTCTTCAGCGGCCATAAGATTCTCGCAATATTGACGCCATCTTTCTACAATTTCAGGTGTCGTGGTCAATCTTACACCGGTGGTATTTTTAATTGGAAGGTACTGTAGTTGGAAGGTTCTTGAGAGCATCTTCACTTTTTGGAATAGATCCCGTGGTTGGTTTTGGTTTGCATGTTTTTCGATATCCTCACATACTGAAGCAATGTACGCATTTTTGTCAATCCTAAGCCTTCTGTTAATGGCTTTGCTCAGTTCTCCATATGTCTCTTGGGCTTCGTTCTCCTGTAGTCCTTTGATTTTTAAGTTGTTTCGCTCGGAGATCATTTCCCAGGTGCTTTGTGTTATCCATGGTTTCCTTGGTTGGTTTTTATCAGGTTTTACAGATTCGGCAGCGAGCTCAATAGAGTGTTTCATTTCTGTCCAGAGTTCATCGGAGTTCATTTGGTTGATTTTTTCTTGCGATATTTTGTCAAGATTATCTTTGACTGCATTTTGAAAGATCTCGTTTTTTCCATTGTACCATGGGTTGGTTTTTGGAGGACGGCGTTTGTTGCGCTGCAGTCTGAGACAGATTTCCGCGACCAGAGCATTATGGTCACTTCCACAATCCAGGCCAGGATAGGTCTTCACATCTCTAATAGAACTTTTCCATCTTCTCTTGATAAGAACGTAGTCAATCTGATTGCGTGTATGTCCATCAGGAGATCTCCAGGTATATATTTTTCTAATATGATGTTGGAAATGGGAATTAGATATGTATAGTTCGTTTTCCGCGCAGAATTCGATAAGCATTTGACCACGTTCATTTCTTTCTCCTATGCCATATTTTCCTACTACCGTTCGTAGATGTGTATCGGTCTTCGTTTCGCCAATCTTCGCATTGAAATCGCCCAGTACGATTAAAGGCTCTCTGTTAGGCATTCTGGTTATTGTGTTCGAGAGTATACCATAAAAGTTGTCTATTTCATTTTGAGGGCATGTCGATGTGGGGGCATAGATTTGCATGAGGTTTAGGTTGACCGGTTTTGCTTGCACTTTCAGGGTAATTATTCGATCGTTGATAGCTTCGTATCCCAAAATAGATTCCTTAAAGTTCTTATGTATCAGAAAGGCCACACCGTTACTGCTGTGGTTTTCGTTTCCAGAGCATATCAAAAGATTGCCATACTCAGTTGTGTAGTGTCCACTATTTTTCCAGTGAGTTTCTGATATTCCGGTAATGGGGACATTGGTGAGTGTTTTCTCGATGATGGCCAGTTTACCGATTTTGTTCATACCTTGCACATTCCATGTGCATATCCTGTGCATTGTCGGTTTTGATTTCCGTTTTCCAGTCGCATATTTTCTATAGGATGCCTGGTCACCTACTCTCCTATAGCCAGTAACCAATTTCACACTCGTATTCCTGGGGCTCGAGCGCCGATTGCCAATCGGGTCGCATGGCGTCTTACCATATGTCTTCGAGTTAGAGTCCATGATGAGTTTTCTAGGGATACATATTCGCACAGTAGGGTCCCTCTCCTTTCTGTGGCGTAGTGTTACAGCCGAGTAAATCTTTATGTGATTATCGCCTGTAGGTATCTGACTTTGGGTCCTTAGAGAAGTCATTCTTCAATAGCCTCCAAACCAGTAATGCCACAGCTACTGCCCTGTGTCATGCTAGTTTTGGTCCGCCCTGGGTATTTCATTTCCCCAGTACCACCCATATCTGGGAGGCATCCCCCTATCCGCCACCTGGGGAGGCGCCCGATGGGGGACCAGCAACCCCACACGGGAAATTCGATTAGAAAACGAAAAATCTTTAAAAAATCAAAACTTCCTAAATCTAATATTGCAAAGCCTGAACGCATTGCCCTAGAATCTCTAAAATCTAATCTAGATATCCTAATCCTAAAAGCAAATAAATGAAATATTGCGGTGGTCATGAACACAAATGAATATCAGATAAATATTCAAGATAGCGTGAACTTAAAAAAAAGATCCCACGTCATTTATGGAAGGCAACCTTAAATCTGTTATTAAAGCTTCTTCTTTATTAGACTCCATTAAAAAATCTGTCATCCTTCATGACTTTAAAATTCGTCGTCTCTACGGACTCCCAAAGACCTATTGTCAGCACCACTGGTTCTCCACCATATTTTCTAGCAAAATATCTAACTTCTTTATTAAAAACCGCTTACAGGCAAAACTGATAGTTTCTTACTTAATTCCTTTCACTTCATTGAACAATTTAAAAAAAAACATTACATTAGATACCCTAGATATTCTAGTTAGTTTCGACGTAGAATCCCTCTTTACTAAAGTTCCTATTCCTGAAACTCTCAACATCATGTCAGATATTAACATATTTTTCCTATAACGGTCAAATTTTAGAAGCAGTCATCGCTAATATATTTACGGAAGCCTTTGAGAAGAAAGCTTTCGACACCTTTCATCTAAAACCAAAACTAACCAAAACGCTACGTCGATGATACTTTTGTTATTCGACCTCATGGTCAAGAAACCTTAGTAGATTTTCTTTAACATTTGAATGCTATACACCCCAGCATACGTTTTACCATTGAGTTGGAAACCTTCCATTCTTAGATATTCTTATCAATAGAAAATCAGACCTAACATTGGGTCCTGTTTACAGAAAACCTACGCACACAGACCGATAGCTTAATTCATGGTCACATCGCAATCCGGCCCAAAAATCACCGGTTATCACCTCTATTGTTTAGAGAGCAATAAAACTATCTCAGCCCGAGTCACTGAACCCAGAATTAAAACACCTTACCTCTGCTCCTCTGTCTAATAATTTCCACATTAAAGATATTAAGCGTTCCATAAAAAAATGCACTTCACCACAACTTTCCTATAACAATGAGGCCGAAAGCAATCCTATACTTGCCACTGTGGACATTCCTTACATTCAAAAGTTCTAATGAAATATAACGTCAAAACCAGATTTCAAAGACAAAATTCCATTTGAGATGCCAGAAGTCTTAAATCAGTTTAAATCACTCGATTAAAATCAGTGCAATTTTCGATTTTCTTTTAAATATCTTTAAAATATTTATCTGTTTTCAGATATTGAGTATTATCACAATTTTTATACACAAAAAAAAATAGGTTTAGTCACTCACTAATATTGCTACCAATACCAATAAGTAATGACGTTTGAAGTAGTAAATAGAAACTCATTTTTTAATAAGTTGATATCTGGCAAATTATCTATTGTTTTACATAGTCAGAGTGTTCGCAGCAAACTATCCTAATGGAACACGTTTTAGTAAAACAGTATTTTTGTCTATCTTTCGGGAACGATACTAATGTGCATACGCGGTGTGTGCCATTTAAAATAATCGAGATTTTTCAGTTCCATTCAAAATTAAATTGAAAAATAGTGAACATTGTTTTTTATTTGCCATTTGATAATGAAGTTTACTCTCTCTTTGCCTCACCCCGTACGCTGAATATTTTTGCTGCGATATCTGGTGCGAAAATGGAGGGAATTTTCCATTTTCCCCAAAATAGTCTCCGAATCGACTTACTTGGATGCCCTTCGGCGGTCAAGCATGGAGTTGATCGTTTCGCTCTTAGCGTTCGAGTCTATCGACGTGTCGCTTCCGGCTCTTGAAATCGGAGCGGATTCAATTCCGGAATTCCTGGAATCCCGTCCTGATTCCTGCAAAAGGGACGCCATCTCGTCCTCGGTATCGCTGTCTCTTGGAGGTCGCTGCTTGCCGAACCTGATGAGGCTCTTGACGCTCTTGAGCGTCGAGCGTTTGCGGTCGACGTTAGGGGGCGTCGTCGGCGTCGAGACGGTCGTGCCCCGTCTCAGGAACGATCTCTTATCGGAAATCGGCTGCTGATCGGCGCTTTGTTCCGCCATGAGCGTTTTCTCGATGTTTGCGATGTTCTGCTCGATGTCGATCAGCATCTGGTGCTCGTCTTCGAGCATATCGAAGGCGGAACTGCCCGCGAAGGAAGCCAGCGATTCGTCCGGCAGGGAATAGATCACGCTGAACTCCACGATCGCCTAGAAGTTTTGTAAATTAGCAATTTCAGAAAGGTCGGAAGGAAACTTCCACAGGCTACTGTAAAGCCGGGTCTAGACAAAGCTCGTAACGTAACCTGCTCTCGTAACATTTTATCCTGTATCCTGTAGCAAAATGGCACGCGTTGATGTTACAGCATCTGAACGATAAGTCTTGTAAAAAGCACGTATCTACATGCACGAGAGTACGGCTCTTGTAAAAATGGAGTGCTCGAATGAAAACCTTCGAATTTATAGAAAAGTATCGGGAAAAAGAGGTGCTGTGGAACCCGAAATATTTACATTATTTCACTAAAATTACAAAAAAAAAACTGTGCATGGAAAGAAATAAATATGTCATCTGATCTAGGCTGTTGTACTTCTCAGCTAGCACAATATGAAAACCGGAGATTGCCATTAAAATTCTCATAGCCCACAACAGCAATATCAGAACCTTTCCGCACCCCAGCCACCTAATTGCTTCTATTAGTCACCTAATAAATCTCCATTTTACCCAACAACTGAAAGAAAAAAATCATCTACTGGCACACTGACTCGACCTCCACTTCCTTCACCAAACTCTGAGACCACTTTAGTTTCGTCCATACACTTCAACCATAGTCCAGAATTCTCTAGCCACTCTGAGCCAAATACAAGCATTGATGATTTTCTTTCTTTGTAAGTTTAATACCTTTTATTAAAATTAATTTCTAATTCAGAATCATTTTTATCTTATAACTTACTTGAAGAATGGGCTTTTTTTTCAAAGCTTAAGTTACGGTTAATAAATTTTTTGTCTTTTAATTCTTCTACTTTACAGATATCCAGAATTATAACCCTTATGGATTGTTTGGAAATTTTGAAGAGATACTGCATACTGCTATACTAATCCCCAGTTGCAAAAAAATATACTGAAATAGCCTTTCTCATAGTGGTATTTTGTTTCATTATTTTCGAGTCCATAAAATTGATAAAAAATTCAAAGTCTGTTGGCGACGTCCTTGGAAAATTTTCATAGTTTCCACTAACTGACCGAAATGTTAAATCAAGCGGAAAACTTTGTTGATCCCTTTTCGAAAGATATTTACCACCAGTGCCTTTGTTTTTTCTTCTTATTTTTCAAATCAAAAATATGTACATCGTAGCAGCTACTTCTATATCGTAGTGGTTTCGTGATTGTGTTCGGCAACTGTTGATGAGTTTATTTGTCTTTTATAGTTCTTTAATACTTTTGATATGCGGTCAGTGATATTTTGAATTTTAGAAAGGACAACAGTGACAATTGTAGATTTTAGTAGTAGATTAGTAGATTTTCTTAGACATTTAAACTCTATTCACCTTAACATATTTTTTATCGCAACTAATAATAATCTCCCATTATTAGATATTCTTATCAATAGAAAATCAGACCTAAATTGGGTCATTGTGATTACAGAAAACCTACTTAATGAATTGTCATATCACCATCCGACCCAAAAATCATCGGTTATCAACTCTCTTGTACACAGAGTCGTAAAATTATCTTAGCTCGAGTCGCTGAGCCCAGAATTAAAACATCTTCTCTTCTCTCTAATAATTTCATTTTCTTTTGAATTTTTTTAGTATGCCTCGTACTTTGGCTTGGATTTTCACAATTTCTTCGCAGCTTAACTGAATATAGGGCTTGTTGAATGGTTGGTGGTGGTCCCAGATCAACTCTTCATCTTCTTCTCTCCTGATACTCTTCCTCAACCTTCTTGCTTGTTGTAATATGGCTTCCTCTGTCAAGTCTGCTGTTGTAGGCAAATCCTGATCTATCACCATAAAATCTTGTAGCTCCTCACTTGTAAACGTAATTGTGCACTTAGGATGACCAGGTTCTCGGTAAGGGTAATAAATTCGGAGAAGATAAGAATCTCTATTAATTAGAAGTCGGCCTACATTCCTTACCTTGTTACCTGATGTGCCCTTTTTTCTTTCGGCATAGAGAGTGAGAAATTCGTTATCCAGAGTGGATTAATACATAGCTTTGTATGGAGACGATTGAACGATGAACGATGAACGATTTAACGCATTAATTTTCCCGTCATTCTTGCGTGTTCTACAAAGGTTCGAAGTTAAATATCAAACACTGTTAATCGATTATCTATAGTGCCATTTGCAATTTGCAAAAAAAATTTCAGTTAAATTGAACATATGATATCGATGAAGACACTATTGTACTAACAAGGTCCATCTAGAAGGCTGAGGTTTGAAATTAAAGGTGATGTTTTGTCTGTCCATGGAAAACTCCTAAATACCCTGCGGTTGTAGAGTTGCCATCATGTTCCAGTTGTTAACGTTAGCCTCGCTCAATGTTGAATCAACCGATATCGATAAAGACACACTTACGACCATCCAGCAAAAAAAAAAAGAACCAAAAGAAAAAAATCTCAATGACCGATAGCAACGACTAATCAAAATCCAACTTTGTTATTGATAAACGGGTCAATAATTAAGACTTACGGGCAAAGGTTTGTTATTAACGTCGAGCAGGCTGTCCCGTACAGATAGTTTTCCATCTTTGATGACGTTCTGCAGCACCAGACGGTAGCTGCCGACGAGTTTATCGGCAAATAGTCGGTTCCTCGAATATAACTCGATGAGCAGGATCTCTTCTTCTTCCAAAGGCCTGGCCACTGGCCAGTCGAACCTCTGCAAAAGAGAATGTATTTTATGGTATATAGATTTTTGTTGTAGGTATAGGGACTAAACTAAGCCAAGATTTTGGAAATATATTTCTTGTGGTCATAAGAAGTTTCAAGACTTTGGATTAATTAAACCAGATGATCTCTACATTTTCGAATAGCTATGATATGAGGAGAGCAACTATTGTTTGAGACTTTGTTATTTAATTTAGGTTTTTTAATTTGGTTTTTGTTCATCATTTATTAATTCTTTTAATGTTGATAAATTGTACAGAATCAAAAAACTTTATATTCTCCGTAAACTCTACATTTATTTTATTAATTTCTAGATAGTCATTAGTGATTTTGTTTTGTTGACTGTTAGTTCGTTTTGTATGAAGCACGAATTTATTTTCTCGAATGCATTTTTCGTTTTATTTGTTACAGGCAATAGATTTCCTCCAGGTGCTAACATATTTGTATCATCTGTATAATTGGTTATCAAAAAATTATTTATGTCCATTAGTAGTTCGTTTATATAAAAAATAAAAAGACTTGGTCCTAGTATGCTACCCTGTGGTATCCCTGTCCTATTTTGTGAGATTTCAAATTTTTACTTTTGGACGATGACGTGCTTGAGTGCTTTTCCACGAATCCCATATCTCTCCATTTTATCTAATAAAATCTTGTGGTCTAGGCAATCGAACGCCTTACTGAGGTCTATATTCGCTAAGTTATTTTCCTTAAAAATGGCGGAACTGGTTGATCTGTTTTTTAATCGGGCATGTTGAGAGATAGAGAACAATTGGCATTTATTAACATATCTTTATGTTGCTTGTTGATGTTCTCAACGTCAGTGACGTAGTAGCCTGTGATTCCCTTATGGAAAAACTGAGGTGACCTCAGCGAATCAAGTTTTATTAGTATTAAGATTTTGTGCTGGAATGGACAAAATTCTTTGGTAAGTAATATTCGGCGCATGTAAAAGCCGGATCTTGATTTGCTTTTTTTATCCAGAAGCACCGTGTAGTGCCTAAAACCAAGTATAAACCTCTGGTCGCGGTATTCTTCACAAAATTCGTAAAATTATTTTATAGTATACAGGGCGGCTCAAAAAAGCGCAAGTAATAAAACATACTTTTTTTTAAATAAGACAATCTGTTTTCAAATTTTGTTCTTTAACTTTGCTACTAAGCAAAATTCGCCCCACTAGGAAACACAAATATCATCCCTTCCATATGGAACAATATCGAGAACTTCTTTGTTTTGACTCACCCTGTGCAGTGATCTCCTAAAACATTGAATAAACGAAAATCGACCGTTTCCTCAGTCCTTCCTATTAAAAACAAACATTCGCAACACCAAATCATCTAAAGGAATCAGATTAGTTGTCTTAACTCACGAACACAGTACTCAATATGGCGAAATCGAGTAAATTTTGGCAAAATATTCTTGTCCTTATAAAAATGCATGAAATTTTTGAGTACAGTCGTGAAATTGTGTCATGCTCGAATCAACAGGTCTGGCGGAAAGCCAGACGTTCTAATTCGTTCGATTTTTCTTTATTCTTTATAGACGCCCCGACCAGTCTGGCGTATCGCCCTGATTCGCTTTGGGGCACGTATTTTCCTTTTTCTATCCGATGATCTTCGCAAAAATATTTTCGTCTGCGATTCCGGCTTGTGGTAGAATTTGAAAATTCAAGGCTAACTCACATACGCAGTTTTACATGAATTGAAATAAGAGAAAAAAAAAGGTATAGTTTCGATGGGAAACGGAACACCCTATACTTTTCAATTTTGCATTGAAACGTTGTCCTCTCTTGAAATAAAAATTGACGCATTAAAATCCAATTTACGTATTTTTAAAATGCATCAATCAATTTTTTTCCCCCCGTTTCAGGTAAATTTTGCGAGTTGGCAACATTGCCGAAAAAGCAATTTATAAAAATTGACGAATCGAGTCTCTTTTGTATATTCTTGCAGTTTCGAATTCTACGAAAGAAACTAAGCAAATAGTATCCAGGTTTCCCTTCGAAGTAAAAGTAAATTTGCCTCATTTTCATTTAATTTTAGTTGATTAATTCATCAATCGAGACAGAAGATTGGATTTTATTAGAGTATTATAATTAAATCGGAGGGTAAGTAGGTAAGACATTTTTTTCATAGAATTCTAAAATAAAAAAATATACAAGGTGTGCAATTAAAAAAGACGCAAGGATCCCCTTATAAAAATCTTACTTTTTGAAATACTTTATGTATTCCACCTTAGTGGTACTTTTTAAGTAATTATTTTAAGTTTATTCAATATTTCCATGCGTACCTTCACTTACTTTGTACTTTTATTTTATAAATGCAAACGGAGAATTAGTTTCTTTTTTAATTTTATTTATATTTCACCAATGAGTTTGTAAAATATAACAATGTTATTATTAGCACATCAAGTCTAATTGTTGTAGTAAGCAAAACCTAATACGATATAGTGATAGAGCGCCCCAAACATGAAATATGTACTAATTACTAATAATAATAATTTATTTGCACAACATAAAACTAAAGCATAGGAAAAACTAAACCGTTAATAAAAATTAATAAAATTCCGAAGATGCTATGAAATTTAAAAAGTATATTCTCTCTTAATCTAAGGGTAACTGTACTGTACTGTATGTTTCTTACTGGTGAGTTTGAAAATCATCATTTTTGTCTTGTGTGCCTGTCGATTAACAACATTCTTCTTCTTGTATTTTTGTGTCTTCTACATAGTTCTTCGACAACAAGGCCCTAGATTATATTCGCCGTAGATAAAGGTACGTCATAAGAATACAAATAAATATTTATTAGAATCTTACAATTAAAATTTTTTTGAAGGTTGCGGTTTTTTAACAGTTTAAAAAATATGGAGACCGTGGAACGAAGCAGCTGTTCCCCTGCTAGAAGAAGACATGAAAAACAACGCAGATCTTGAAGACGGAGTGGAAATTGTTGTCGAATCTAATGACAATTTAGAAAACGAACTACCTCAACAAATGTTTAAAATTTTATAAGAAATTCAGAAGGGGAAGTAGGAACAGCAATAAAAACAAGTGACAGGACCCAAGTTCCGAAGTCAACTCTCAGAAAAATTGTTGCAAATGGGATAGTCAAGAGGAAAGTGGTACTTCGGGAGTTTTTAAAGAGCAACACTCAGATCTAATTAGGCCTGTAATCTACGACGCTTATAAAGCGAATGGTGTTTTAACCCTAGAAGAATTGCATAAAAAAGTAGTGACAAAGAGTCGTTGCGTACTTTATTTGAAGGAAATGGATTTTGAGTTTCAAACATATATAAACGTCAAGTGCCAATGGAATCTCAAAGAATTTCGCAATGGAGGGTGGATTGTTTTAATGCAATTGAAAAATTTCGAGAGCAAAACGGGCCAATAGTATATTTAGAAGAAACGTGGTTCGACACTCACGACATAGTAAAAAAAAGGTGTGTTGTTAGTAACAAGTGTGTACTAGACGTGCCGCATTCACATGGACAAAAATGGTTGGGTGCCTTATATTTCTCTACCAAAAACGTCAAAAATTCAAGTGTGGAGTACCATGAAAACTGGACCGCGGAAGTACTTGAAGACTGGTTTTGAAAATAAACTGTTCCCAAAACTATCGCCATATACTGTTATTGTGTGTAGGATGATGCCTCGTATGAGTCAGCCCAGATTAGAAAATTCCTAGGACGACCTTGGAACAGTTACTGGTAAGGGGCTGCGGTTTTGGAGTAATAAACAGTAGGCAAAGTTCATCAGGGGGGTCGGTTGTAAAAGCACTGGCCCAAGTATATAACTTTTTCGTTTTTTGTGAAATGCTTCTTCTCGGGCCGCCGCTGATGATTTACTGACAAGAGCGCGGAAAACGCTTTCCTCCGGAAATTTCGAGGGACGTTAAAGTTTAATCCGGAGACTTTTAACTCTAACTTTTAAAAGGTCGCTAAAATTCGTGTTAAAAAGTTACGGCCAGTCGCCGTAATAAAATTTCAATCTTGCCTAGCTTAAAAAAGATGTATAATATAATATATGTATAAATATCTTTTACCCTCCGGCTTGAAAATGTCGCGGTTTTTTAATTAAAGCGCCCTTGAACCATCGTCGAAATGTCAAAGCGCTGATTATATAGAATGATCGCTATACGCTATTTTTTTCCACCGCCCTTAAGGTACAGTGAACCCATTAGCACGTACTGCGGAGAAAGATTAGCATACGGTATAATTATGTGGTTAGACGATTATTATCGGTTTTTCCAGGCGTTTTTGCTATTTTACGGCCGATTTTGCGTTCTGGCGCAAAGCCGCGCGCAAACCTGCGCAAATAATTGGATTCACCCCGAGCGACGAAATCCAATTTGGACAATATTTTACAATTATCCGCAGGCCAACAATTGTTAAACGTTCGAATGTTGATTTCGATCTGACTTTTGATTCTGTATAATTTAGGCCTCCTAAATTTGAATCTGGTAAGCCTTTTTCCTCCATCACGTAAGGTTTTTTTTTTAATCGACATTAAAAGAATACTGGTTTTAGTAGTAAAAGAACAAAACTCATCCCAAAAAGTCCATTAATTTTTGAACGATCTCTTCCTCTTGACCGAAGAACTTTCGGGAAAGTATACTAGATGTGAATCTAAAAAGAGTAGTTTTATACTCATTTTGCATCCCACAGAATAGAATGGAATAGAATTTATTGACCGCGTTTTGTTCTTACAGTTATGGCAAATCATAAATACAATACGTAAAAAAAATATGTATATAAAAAACAAGACAATGAATAAATTATATAAATAGTGTGCAAATTATATAAAACAGTGTATAATACATAAGAACAGGACAGTCTATATGACAAAGTACAGGACGTTTATATAAATAAACAAAATGAATCAACATCAACAAAGTTATAGAAAGTCATCGCACAGTCACACCGTACACAGACGCTTCTTTGACTTCAGAGTAAAAGCAGTGCCTTTAAGAAAGTATTTTTGAAAATTTAAAAACCATATTTGCAGGGTATAAAAATAAAAACAATTTCTCAAAAACGGTATATGCGGTCGAAAATATTTTTGAACCAAAAGACGCGCGAGATCCAAACCAAAAACTTTTATCCTTGATGGTTTTTTAATAACGTACAGGGTGCGTCGGTGATTTGCGAAAAATTGAAAATAGGACTCCGTTTATAATGGTAATTCACTATCACTAGAAGGCTATGATTTAGTTGCCAGTTTCTTTCACGTTTAGAGTGCTAAAACTTTTGTATTAAAGGTAATTCAAGTAAAGGTTGACTGTGCTCTGTGATACAAATTTTCTCGGGTCGAAAGGCAATGAGAATCCCAACGAATAATGTCAACAACGTTATCGAATAAATTAATAAGTTTTTCTTCTTCTAAATGCTGCGCGGAGGAAAGAATTACGGCGTCGGATTCAGAAAATCAACCGAGATTCAATTTCGTTTTCGATATTTACCGGGTTGACTTTGTCAATACTGCGAAACCATAAACCGCTTTGAATAAGGTGCCGAAATTTACCTTTTTTCTTATTCGCAACTTTGTGGTTTTGAAAGAACCATATCAACGTGTGCTAAATTATACCAGAACACCTTACAGCAACTCAAAGATTGGTTTTTACACGTTGATATGAATGACTTACCTAGGTTGTTTAATTTTATACACCTTGTATTTTTAATATTATATTCAGGGTTGGGCTGATCTTAATCACTTAATTTGTTTAATTTAAAATCGTGATTTTAATAGAACTCTTATTTTTGAAAATCGCAAAATATGACAAATAAAAAGTAAAACACAACTCTTTGAAAACATAAGACAACATAATAATATACATTTTATGCTTCTACAATTTGGTTGTATAGTTTGACGAAAAATACTAATTTTCCCCATTCCTCTATCCCCATCCTGTTCCTTAGATCTGAGTGTACAAAACCAGAAGTGCTGAAAGTATGTTGTACTGATACTGGGGAAGCAGTTGTACACATGAACTGTGTCGCAATTTCTGGCTCATCCTTTCGTTTTTTTTTACTTCAGGATTCTCAATTGCCTGTGCTATTTGTTTGTCACTCTACCCAAATTAGGCTGATTTTCATTTTTTTTTTCATTTTCTTTGTTTGTGCCCACTAACCATATTAATATGTTTGTCATATTTGCGTAAGATCTTCATCTATCTATTTCATTGATATCTGTTGGATGATAAATAAATAATAATAATAATAATCACAAACATCATGGTGTGTTGTAGGTCTTTTTCTTTTTTACAGATTTTACAAATCGCTTTACACCCACAACTATTTGAATCTGTTGTTTTAATATAAAACTGCCATCCAGCCATTTAACTGTTCCACTATTTTTACAAACCACCCAACTGAACGCGAGGCGTATTGGACAACCACATATATAGAGAAAAAAAAATGTCGCTACAGAAATTTTCTTGTACCAAGCGCGAATACTTAGTGTGTATATTGTACTATGTTGTATATAGTTGTAATTGCCACAAAAAAAAGGAAACACATTCTGGTGTTATCTACTGTGCTACGTTGTAGCCTGTTAAAATATTACTAAAAGTTTTCGCTTACCTGATCAACAGTCAACAGTTCACAGTTCTCTTCTAGGATCTTCGTCAGGTGGGAGACGCCTGAAACAAACTTTACTTTACAACCGGAAAGGAAACACGTTCGGTTTTGATTGTTATTTTCGCGATGATCGCCAAAATCCCTTGGCTATTAACTCGCTCAAGCGTTTGGTAATTCGATGAAATATGATTTCCCCCATGTCCCACCCTCACCCCACCAACAGAACTGTTATTTTTAAATATTTAGAAGAGACAATATTCGAACTGCTGGATTTACGTTTGCAGCTGCCATTGCGTGTAGCTGCCAAGCTTTATCGATACATATGTATCGACATCCACCTTTGCACTCGTATGTCGCCGTATAAGCGGCACGCTATGTCTTATCATTAGAGCAGTTTGGCCGGTCTGTCATCCCCTACGCTGCTTTCTTGAACCTTTGTTGACGACATGTTTACGTAAATATAAAAAATAATATGATATTTGTTTTATACATGGCGTAAGTTGTTTATTTTATATCTGTTGATGCACAAATTTTTACCACTTCAGTTCACGTGTCCACCATTTTTGCATTGTGAATATTTAAGTTTGGTGTATTTAAAAAAAAATCAAATGCCCAAGAAATTTGGAAAATGAATTGCAAAATAGTGGCGATGAATTTTATATTAACGCGCCCTGAAAATTATAGATTGGATAGTGATAATATTAATGACAAAAACGACTCTAGTAGTGGTAGTTACTAAAAGACAAAGATCCGAACCTTTACCATCAAGTTCAAGCAGTGAAGAAAACCAGAATAAAACATAACCTAGTAATTTTGGTCCATGGCAGAAAGTCACATGCCAGCATCAGCTACCAGACAGGATTCTATTTACTTCTGGGATTAAAAGGTAGGACCACAAGTTCCTGGTACTTGTACAAAACCCATAGATTTTTTGAAGCTCTTTTTCACCGATGAGCTAATAATAAAAATACTGCAACAAACAAATAACTAGGCTAGACACAAAATAACACAGAGGGGTTGTCAAAACATTCTACATGGCACACGTGAGTAGATACTACAGTACTACACTACAGTTAAAACTTCATTTGACAGGTACACACAAATCAACCGCAAATTTATACCTGATTCTATCAAAAAACCAACATTTGCAGATCAGGTAATTTGATGTTATTGGCGTCAAAAAATAAAAGGGTCACTTACTTCGTGCAGCCTATCGACAGAAGAGTACGTGGAGGTAACGTACAAGTTGTAAATAAGCCAAATGTAGTGGTCATTTAGAATTAATATATGGGAGGTGTCGACCGCGCAGACTCTTTCCTGAGGAAGTCTTTGAAAGTTTTTTTTTTGAGGACTCGAAATGTCTAGAGTCAACGCATATTTATTATATAAAATTTCACAACAAAAAAACCAATGACACGTCTGTTAAGTTTGTTCGGGAATTAGTTGACGAGATGACAAGAAACTTTCGGCACAGGTCCATCATCTGTAGATACAGGAGAGCGACAAAATAGTAAATTACATATTTTACGCCAAAACGGTACCATACACTACAACATTATAGAATGTAGTTTTCTTATATTGTATATTAATTTATTTTATAATAGTGGTAGTGATTATGATTATGTTAGGTTTTATTTGTGTTCCTCTATCCTGAAGAAGCTAGATATTTTACTAGAGAATATGTTGAAGAAGCAATGGTGCTGAGAATTGGCCGAATTGGTAATCCTCGTTTGTGAATCTTTGGGAGTCCGTAGAGACGAGGAATTTTAGAGTCATGAGGGGTAACAGATTTTTTCACGGAGTCCGATAGAGAGGTAGGATCTTTTTTAAGTTCACTCAACAACAACCAGGCGCACGAGGATTCCAGAAGTTTTGTAAAAATTAGAAAACACTATGTACAAAAAACCTATACATACTGGACAGTATTTCGATTTCGGGTTTAAAAGAGAGATGTAAAATTGAACAGTATTAAAAAGCATTTGCTTCGTAACTCCGTAACGACAAACCAATACAAAGTCAAAACTGTAAGACCGTAAATAACACAAAACAATCAAGAGAGGGAGAGCGTATCTACCAAGCATCGCGTGAACGTGGAAGTTCGTATATCGGACAAACAATTTTCGCGGGCATACGTATATGACTTCATTAAAACGAGGAAATGTCAAAGCGACGTCGGGTCCCGGTGTCTTGGGAATCCGGGTTGCGGCTGCCCTGAATAACGTCGACTGTGTGCCCGTATAATTTCAACTACAAACTCTGGCAGCTCGGAGTTTGTGGTTTCAAAAGTACCAAGGATCCAAGTGAAGGCCATTTTTTTCTTCTAAATGCGATCATTAATTTAAGTTATAAGCTCAAGGGTTTTGCAAACATTTGGCTCTGAAGAAGCCAACAGGATGATTGGCGAAACGTCAGCAAGGAATCCAGAAGTTTTATAAAAAGTATTACTGTGGAAGTTTCTGTGAAAAATTGCAGCCTAGTATGCAAAATGTCACCAAAATGTCTCTAAATTTTTTTTCGGAAGCGATTCATTCATTTTTGGAGCATGCTATCAACTATATTGAGTATGGAGAGCACCTTGGGATATTTTGTGACCTTAGCAGGGCGTTTGACTGTATGAATCACGAAATCCTTTTGAATAGGATGGAACAATACGGAATTCGTGGAATAGCTTTGAACTGCTTCAGGCCGTTCTTAACAAATCGTAGGCGGTATGTTGAAATAAGGCAGGAGAGAGGCAACTTGAGTCAAATTAAAAAATCCCAAGTCCAATCTGAAGATAGAGGCATACCGCAAGGTACAATGCTTGACCCTGTTTTATTTATCCTTTTTATCATTGAACTGTCTATCAGAGGTCGTTGAAGACAGTTCAAGTTTAGTCTCCTCACACCGTTATCAAACTCTTCACAGAAAGAATTAATTCAAAACTTGTACCGTTAAATTACTGGTTTAACACTAACGAACTCTTTTTGAATGTCCAAAAAACAAGTGTACTGATATTCAAATGCCCACAAAACAAAAAAGATCTCTCTGGTGAATGTCTGGTCGGGCGGGGAGGCCGGGGAGGAGAAATAAAAAAAGCACGCTAAATGTTTAGGACTAGAGCTTGACGAGATCCTATCTTGGCAAAGTCAATGCCAATTACTTTGTTCAGGACTGCATACTTATTGTTTCCTAATAAAAAACGTAAAAACTGTTTTGACTGGAAAGTCCGTGATAAATTTCTACTATGCTCACATCTATTTGAGATTACTCTATGGTATTCCATTTTGGGGAAATTCAAGTCATGCGACATATGTTTTCAAATCCCAAAAAAAGTCCTAAGGTGCATTGCTTGACAATTTTCAAGCCAAGCTTGGAGTTTGAAAGGTTTTTTTTTGCCAAAATGTTTATATTTCAAACGAAGACGAACGTGCGTAAAATGCATCACTTTTGGACAAAAACAAGACCATATTCACCGGATATGGCCCTGTGACTTTTTCCTGTTACCAAAACACAAGAAACCCAAGAAAGGAAGGACTGCATACTGCAACATACTGCATAAAAGTTATAGCTTTTTGTGAGATTAAGTTCATATTGAAAAGAATACTTCATATGAATATATAGTAAAGTTTTAAAAAATTAAAGGTACTTTTTTAATATCTGGGGGATTACTTTGAAGGGGACAACGTTAACTTTGATAAATAAATAAATACTTTTTGATTAAACTTAAAAGTCACCTTACTTTTTAAACACACCTCGTAAATATGTTTTCGCAGGTCGAACTAAATTTAAATATTTCACGAAACTTTTAGTTTCGGTTCGAATTTGAGTCGTTGCTTAACCTGAAAATATTTGTCCAATTTAAAACAGATTCGTATGATACGATCGAACGTTGCTAAATCGTCACAAACACTACAGGGCATCGTTTTTTGGTCCTAATTCCTTTTTAATTGTTTAAACAGGGGCTTGTTGATGGTCGGCCAATAAATTTGGAACTGGGAAAAGAATAAAAAGGTCTCCATTTTGTATATCTCGTCTTCTTAATGTAAACAACATCGGCGATTTAGAAGCGATTTGGAAGATGAACAGTCATTAAGAGAGTGGATAAAGCAGTTTCAAACAAAAATTACGTTTACAAGTGAGGAGTTGCAAGATTTTATGGTGATAGATCAGGATTTGCCTACAACAGCAGACTTGACAGAGGAAGCTTCATTACAACAAGCAAGAAAGGGTGAGAAAGAGCACCAAGAGGAAGAAGAAGGTGAAGAAACCACCAACCATCCAATAAGCTCTATATTCGGTTAAGCTGGTAGAGACATTTTTTATGTATCATGGGGAAGATGCCCTTCTCGAAGAAATTGTGAAAATACAAGCCAAAGTACGAGATGCGTATTGGCATACTAAAAAAATTCAAAAGAAAATCACCGATTGTTTGAAACATTAAATGTAGTTCCAAAATATTTATAAAAATTTTCCTAAGTAGATGTTAATATATATATATATATATATATATATATATATATATATATATATATATATATATATATATATATATATATATATATATATATATATATATATATATATATATATATATATATATATACAATTGAATGAAAATCCATAATAGAGACGTAGCTAGGGAGGCACTACCCTACTTTTTGTTTGCTGAAATCGGGTTTGGGAGAAGAAAAAAAAAACTTGTCTCCGCACAAAAGGAAACAGTTTGATGGAAATGAACAAAAAACGATCAAAATGTTGGACACAATAGCGTAACATTTGTAATTTCGGCCGCGCGTTTAATAGACGTTTCGAGGGTTCTTTGTCCGTACGTCGTAGTTAATCTCGCGGCTTCACCGACAAATTTATTTCCCTCACGTTAAAAACTTCTAGGTTTTGAATCGTTATCGTTTTGATAGGAAGGCTGCACGCAACGGCCCACGCTTTGGTTGGGAAACCTAATCTTTTCGCGTGGCCGTTTGAAATTATGAACATTGAATTTGTTGCGACGCAATAGCAACGATAGTGGTAGCGAAATTATTTTTTAACAATAAACAACAATCTTACGAGAATCGAGTTATGGAAAAATGGGAAATAAAAACTTTGTAAAGGTTGTTGGGATGTAGGATTTAAAATTATTCTAAAGCATACACGGTGTCTTGAATTTTCGAATTTGGTTTTGAATTATTTTTAAAATCTTCCACTTTGCTTTTTGCAAAACTTCTGGATTTGAAACTGGTTCGCATTTTACTCTGTGCCTGCTTTTATATTGTCTGAGAGAGCGGAGCTAAATTAACCCCGTCTCGGATGACTGATTGCCATATTGGTTACCAGTAAAGACCTGAGTCACGCTTCAGATTGTTAGTTTACTTATAGATTTCTATAGACTCTCTTATGTTTCGTGATTAGAGGCGTTTACATAGTTTTATCGAATAAAATTTTATGTCCGGTTTCGTGATTGTGTTCGGCAACTGCAGATGAGTATATTTGTCTTAGTGTTAGTAAAACCTTAATTAAAGTTGTTGTGAGAATATAAGTTTAATAATGGAGGGGTATTTAAATTTAATTGACCGTTAAGCAATACATTTGAATGTCTCATTTTGTTAATCTCCATGGCTTCCAATAAATTTAATTTTCTAGTTTTTGCAGCTGTATGTAAAATATCAAAATTGTCGTCAAAAATGTGTTTTCTGTGTTTAAGTGTGTAGCATAATTAGAATCTAGACTATTGTTTTTAAACGCTCTTTTATGTTCGTTGATGCGTTTCTTGAAGGATCTAAGTGTTTGTCCAATATAAATTTTAGGACAAGATCCGCATTTCAACCTGTAGACACCTGATTTTTGAGATTCTGGACATTTCATTTTATTGTTTTTTTAAAAATTTTCCTATTGTTTTGTTTGTTATGAAAGCTATTTTTAAACCACATTTTCACAATTTTTTTGAAACTTTTTCATAATGGACGGATTGTAGCCTTTTAGTTCTTATTTATTTTGTTAAATAGATTTTGATTAAGTAAAAGTCACCTCAGTTCAAGCATATTAGGCCCCATTATGTTTGTTATCTTCATCAATGACATATACACGGTTGAAGAAGGTTCCAGACAAATAATAAATTATGCAGATGACACGAATATCCCAATTCCTGGATAGCAAATTAATTCTTAATACAGACAAAACAAATGTTGTATTCTTCAGAACAAATCTTTGTAATGTAGAAACAACAGGCGACCTCAGCGTCGACAATAAAAACTTACGCATGTCGGAAGATACAAAATTTTAAGGATTATGTCTGAATGAAACTTTTGGACTGGTCTCCTTTTACAACTCAATTATTAACAATAATTAAATTAAATCCAATGTCGTATAGTATTAGGGCGGTTGGTAGGTATATGAACGGAAAAACGTTAACGGTATTATATTTTACTTTTTATAAAACTTCTGGATACTGCCTGCTTCGGTTTTTGTTGACTCGAACTAAATAACGTTTCGGCAATCATCCTGTTGGCTTCTCCAGAGCTTGACTGAAACTGGCGGAGCTAAATGAGTGGCATAAACACCGTCTCGGATGACCAAGTCGCGGATAAGATTGTTAGGTTGTTTGTAGATTTCTATAGACTCTCGGATTTTTCGTTGGTAGAAGAACTGATTACATGCAAGAATTTTAGTTTTATGGAATAAAATTTTATGTCCGGTTTCGTGGGACGCTATGATTAGCTTTTAATTTAATTGTAAAATTTATGTTAGGCTGTTTAAATGTCCAAGATAATCAACTAGGGATTCTTAATCATGAGGCCAAATAGCAAAGGTATCATCGACGTAGCGTTTCCATAATATAAGGTTGTTCGGAAAGTTATTTCGTTTTTTCCCGTCGAAGGACTTAATTACGTTTTTTCGAAACCAACTTCACACTTAAGCCGCATAGCCATTATATGTCTTGAGAGCTGATATTGCAAGGCTTGTGTGTGAAAAAGTTCTATTAATTCTACGCAGTAGTTTTTGGTTGGTGCCCTTTTAAATATGGAGAGCAATAAGCAGCATTTTCGTCATATTTTACTTTTTTACTTCAGAAAAGGTAAAAATGCTGTCCAAGCGAGAAAAAAATTGACGGATGTGTATGGAGAAGCCGTGTTAACAGTACGCCAGTGCCAGAACTGGTTTGCAAAATTTCGATCCGGCAATTTTGATGTCGAAGATGCACCACGGTCTGGAAGGCCGGTCGAAGCTGACAAAGATGCGATAAAGGCATTAGTTGATGCAAATCGGCGAATAACCACACGAGAGATCGGTGAGAGATTAAATTTGTCAAATTCGACTGTTTATGGCCATTTGAAAGGCATGGGCTTAACCTCGAAGCTCGATGTGTGGGTGCCCCATGTCCTTACGGAGCGAAATTTGTGTCGTCGCGTTGACGTGTGTGATTCGCTCCTCAAACGTCAAGAAAATGATCTATTTTTGAAGCGGATTATTACTTATTATTACAATGTTAAACGCAAGAGGTCATGGAGCGGAAAAGATGAACCGGCTCAAAGCGTGTCTAAAGCCAACATTCACCAAAAAAAGGTGATGCTCTCCGTTTGGTGGGATGTCAAAGGAATCGTTTTTTTTTTTGAGCTTTTGCCGGACAATACAACGATTAATTCAGAAGTCTATTGTCATCAACTGGACAAATTGAATGATTCACTTAAAAGAAGAGGCCCGAATTAATCAACAGGAAGGGTGTAGTGTTCCACCATGATAATGCGAGACCTCACACAAGTTTGGTCACTCGCCAAAAACTTTTACAGCTTGAATGGGACGTACTGCAACATCCACCATATTCTCCAGATCTGGCGCCTTCCGACTACTATTTGTTCCAGTCCCTGCAAAATTTTTTGGATGGCAAAACCTTTATCTCAAATGAAGATGTCAAAAACCACCTGAACCAGTTTTTTGCCAGCAAGGACCAAAACTTTTATGAGAGGGGAATTATGTTACTGCCAGAAAGATGGCAAAAGGTGTTGGACCAGAATGGCCAATATATAATTTAATAAAATATTTATTCATTATACGAAAACTGTCTTTCATGTTCCCCAAAAAAAACGAAATGACTTTCCGAACAACCCAATATATACATGCAGCGAATAGATTTGGATAATTTTAAATTGATAATTCTCGATTTCCTTGAATGCCATGCCATATATGTATATTATTATAATTATTTTTTAAGTAAAAAAAGGATGGTGGAAAACGCATAACAGTTCTTCACGCTGGGTCCAAAAATGGTTAGGTGGAAGATGCCTTATTTTTTTCTGCCAAAAACATCAAAGAATCAAATCTTAATAACCATGAAAACATGACCGCGGAAATATTCGAGAACTAGTTTAAAAATAAACTGTTGTCAACTCTATCGCCAAATGCTGTTATTGTCTTGGATAATGCCTCGTATCATTCAGCTCAAATTAGAAAAATTCCAAAAACTTCTTCAAATAAAGAAGAAATTAAAGAATGTCTGTACGAAAATGGTTTACATTTTGAAGAAAGCTACACGAAAAAACAACTTCAGGAATTATTAAAAATAAGAGAGGCTACAATATCAGTAGAAAGCTAGTCTCACTGTGAAAAACGAGTAATAAAAGAAGGAAATATTTTTTGAGAGATTTTTTTAAGTGACTGATACTTTATTATTATTATATTTAATATTTTGTATATTTACAATGATACTGTAGATGTAGAAATGTAATGAAATTGAACGTAATAATAAAATAAACTAACTAAAATGGAATGATCAGAAGGGTGTAATATGCGGGGCTGCGGTTTTGGAGAACTAAACCGCAAGCAGAGTTAATCACGGGGTAAATGCACTATATTTCTGGTCCAAGTATAAGGCTCCCGTTATTTTTATAAACTCGAACGGAAAATACGGAACTCGCTTAATTAATTAACAAACATCATCTTTAGCCCGTCTGTACGTTAGAAAAATCACATTTAAAAAAAAAACACAAGGGTCTGCACACGGTCTTCCACGAGGAACGGCTACGATAGTAACGGGGCCCAGATAGATTTCACCAAAAATTTTGTTCGAGATGCCGAAAGTGCATATCCCGGACGGGTGACAATTTTGATATTACGAAGGGTTCGTTTCTTGCGTTATTTTAAGGTTCGCTCTGTTGGCGTATCGCGGCCAGAATAGACGTCGTATTGTTTTCGATAAATTTTGATTCGGCAAAGCGTTCAAGTGATGGACTCTCACCTCTGAACTCGATTTTGGCCAATTTCTCGCCCTTGCATTTCGCCACTTGGAACTGTTTGAGCTTGACCGCGAGCGACATTTGACGGAAACCGAACGCGGTCCTGCTGCCGCGGCCGTCGCAGGAATACTTGTTGATTGAGCGTCGCTCTACTTGTCCTGCTCCCGTTCATACGGGTCGACTGCGTGCCCGAATTTCGCGCGCAGGATCGGCAGGAATATACAGGGCGGTTCTCTTTGATTATGGATGTTGTTTTATAAAATAAGTGCAGGGTTATTCATTATATTTCGACACTTATCTGCAGGATCAATTTTGAAAGATAGAGAAAAAGTGTAAATGCGAAAGTTTGAAGATTGCAAATGTCAGAAAAAACCAACGGCGATCGCAAGCTCTCAAAATGACAGCAACATAATTTTTTAAAAACTAATTAAAACTAAAGATCTGCAAAACTATCGACGTGTGTATCTATGAGTAAAAAACACTTGTCGGTATGTTTAAAAATTTTGAGAGGTATTTTGAAAATTTTATGCATTCAAATACGCATATATTGCGGGTTTTCTCTAGCGTTTTTAGCAGTCCAAAAAATGCAAATGGATCATACCAAAATAATTTCGCACATATTGGATTTGTTTTTAGATTAATTAGTTTATTATTTCAGGATTAATACGAAACAAGATACGGCAATATACTTTTGAGAGATCATTTCCACATCGCTTTCGTTCTACATCACGGTTTTCTTAATAGGCTTCTAACTGAAATTCTCGTATTAAAACGACTCACACAAAATGGCGTTTATATTACGTCCAAACTTATCAGGCGATAATTTTGCATACACATACTTAAACGTTCAAAATTCCAGAGAGCGTTTTCAAAAACATTTATTTATACAGAAAGCAAAATAAAGTTTTATTCGGACTAGTCGATGCAAAGGCTGGAATAATTAGGGCTTTCGATGCGGTGTCTTCGCTTAGCTTGGGGCTTCGTTTTGCAGTTTGGGGCACATAACTACATCAAGTGATTTTATGCCTTTAAAACTACGTGGATTTTTTGGCTTGGCCTTTAACCTTTTTTTTTTGCAATCAAGCCAATATTTGGGCGATATTATGCATTTCTTACATTTTTCTAGTCGTCCTACGCTCGAAGCAACGGCATTTTTTTTTTTTCTAATTAAGATTCCCCAGAAAGGAAGATACATAATTTAAGAATCATAAATAAGGTCCGTAAATGGAAAAAATCTTTTAAAAAATATTCACGTTCTTAATAAAATTTAGTAAAATTTTATTTTAGACTCGAATTTTGCAATATAATAATGATGGCTAAGCATTTTCTAAATAACAAACTTCAAAATATAATTTGGACCCATGAATGAATACTTAAAATTCTGTGGTGTTATTTGATAGAAAAATAGAAAAAAGTTTAAAAAGTAAATAAGCAACCCGACAATGATGGTTTAAACATAACCCGAATGCTGAAGATGATCGCTAATAAGTTTAAAACGGTGCGTCACAGACCCATGCTCATATGGTTGAATTTGTCTTTGAAAGGACAATCCAAAAGTGCAATAAAATGTAATTAAAAAATGTAACTTTGTTTTACCACCCTGTATATAGAAAAGTGACGATTAGGAAAAAAAATAATGGTCATACATACATAAAAAGTACAAAATATAAATTCTAAATATATAAAATATAAAATTCCAGACAAACGGAAACCAAAAGCTAAGCACCCAGAAATCAGAATACATGGCGGTAAATTGTTAAAATGGTTTGGGCCTTTATGTAATCTAGAGTTTTGCACATGACTAGAATGACATTCTCTCAACATAAAATTACCACATTTGCTTATATTGTAAAAATCTGTGAAATGGGTAACTTTTTCAAAAACATAATTTTGAATACACTGCTGTTTAATTTTAAAAATAAATACGTAGACATTAAACATTACTTTTTGTTTTACAAACAAGAAATTAAGAACACTCAACATGCTTTGAATTGGCATATATCTGTCGCACTTTGGTATATTTCGTTTTCATTAATTAATTTTTTGATGTTCATATAAATGTTTACATCAAAAGTTAATTTACTCAACTTACGTTGTTTACCAAAAATACAAAAGTTTGACTTGTCCGTGTTTATACAAAGGTTATTATTACACAGCCATTTTTTGTATTTGCTAATAATACCGCTTTAGCATCATCTAAAATATTTACAGTATCATTTATATACATAAGAAACAACAATGGTCTCAAAACTGTCCCCTGAGGAACACCATGTTCTACAGTTATGCAATCAGATGTGCAATTTTTATATTTCGATTTTTGTACCCTATCTTTTAAATACGTACAATTTTCTTAACAGTCTAGTTCTACATATTGTTTCCAAAAATACAGCCAACACAAATTTACCATCCTCGAAGGCCCTCGAGAAATTGTCACAGACAGTAACAACGACAGATTCACATGAATGTTTGGAGCGAAAGCACTAAAATATTGTTTACGTCACAATAACTTTGCAGCTGCTCTTTCACCACAACCTCAAGAACTTTCTCATAAACTGTAACGGTATTAATTAATTTTGTATTTAATTTTTTGTTGTAACCCCCGTAGGTTTCGAGAGAAAGTATAGGCCATCCTGTACAGTTTCAGCCTAATCGCTTAGAGCGAGACGCTTCAGTTGTTTTCGTGGAAATGGAAAAATTGTAAAAATGTGCTGTCATCAAATAATTCAATTTGAAAAGTTTTACACCAAAACAAATTGAAGGGTAGATGGACTGAACATTAGGAGAGTCCTTTCCATCACATTTAACTATTAAACAGTGGGTTTCCGAATTTAAAATGGGTCGTGTGAGGTGTTCTGACGAGACGAGCTCAGGACGGCCAGCTAAGTTCACAAAAATGATCGACGAAATAAATTAAGTAGTGTTTGTTTTCCAAAATGGTCGAGAATGTTCTCTCTTTTTTCTTTTCGATTTGATGCCAAGACAATGGAAGTTCGAAAAGTCGCTATTGACTAATTATATCCTCAATGAAAAATGGAAAATATGACGAGGGCCGAGGTTACTCCCCTGCGGAGTGGCAACGAACTGTCAAGTAGGACTTCCCATTTCCACAACTTTGTGGACGAAGATAATGATGGTCGACCCCAACGAACTTACACAAAATGGCGTTTACATTATGTCGAAATTTATCGGCTAGTTACTAAAGGGGAATTTATGAAATGGAGCGGCGGGCAATGGAATTTAATCTTGACCCAGATATCCTAGAGTTCATTTCGAGGGACGCCCAAGTATTCCGAATTGGCATTACAATGGGGTAAATATTTTATGCAGGCGGCGCAGAGAATTCACCGTTACAGAAACCTTATTAAATTCTTGGTTGCGGAGATAAGAGCATTCAAATGTTCACTCGTTCGAAGATGATCGCGCGCTTTGATGATGATAATGGTAATTTTACGCTAAAAGCAACTAGAAGACTATGGCGTAGTTATCAAAGGAAACAGTTAGGATAATTAGGAGTAAGAAGTGAACAAATAAAAGAGCAAATGGAGAGTTCTCAACTCTATTTTGGCTAAAACCACCCTCTGAAAGGCGACGCATTCAGGCGTTTTGCGTCCTGCGGACCACTACGGAACTTTCGCAAAATCGATGTAATTTAATTGTGCACGCACCATGTATTAATTGTCCTTCACATCTTAATGATATGTTTTCCTGCGCCCCTTATAACTGACGAAACCTGAAACTCTCTCTCGACAAACTTTAATTTGTAGGATCTGTTGGATTTTTTGCCCATATGAAATGTCACAAATGACACTTGATAAAGACACGGTGTTGTCGAAACAATTGTCATGTAAAAATATATAATTTCGTGAAAATCTTATTTATTTTGAAATAAATGTTATTGCACTGGATCTTCCCCATCTGCTGGTTAAAGAATTTTGATGATCGGGTAAACGATTATTAAAGAAAACGTATTTTTCTGGAAGCCAAAATTACCAAAAAGAAATCAATAAAAAAAAAATTTTTTTCGACGGTGATCATTTCTGTACCAACGGCGATCGTAGGACCTACCGTCACCGAGATATAAAATGTTTGTTCGAGCGCAGATACTTTCGAAAAATTCGATTTCATCGATTTTCGAAAGTAACAAGCAGTTCTGGTACTTCATAGACCACAGTTTACGTCAGTACTTTTCCATCTTCGGAGGTAATCAAGGAGACGACTCTTGAAGCTGCTGGTGTGAAGTAGTACTGTAGCATGATCTACTTTTCTCCACTTGCATATAAGGATGGCATTGTTGTTTACTGTTGTTTTTCTTTGTGGTGATCATTTTAATAATTGTTATGGTAGTCTATCGTCATTTATTCATTCATCTTTTTTGTTTCTATTTTTCCATATTTCATATCAACTGCCGTTACTCCTTCAATAGCTTCCCATCAGGTATTCCGAGTTTTCTTCTCATCGGGCAATTACTACTTGACCACAGAATCGTCGACAACAAGTAATTCACAGAGTGCATCGATCGTGTCTTAGTTACGGCGCCCTCTAGCACTCGCCGCCGAAAACAAAAAAAAAGAAAACGAATGATTGGTTAGATGGCGCCACCAAAGCACTGCTCTGTGATCTGTACCGCGAAGTTACGATCAGTGTTTGCGTGAATTATTTAAGCACTAATGGCGTCTTCCTTCCTTCCTGTCTAGTGTTGGAAAGCTTTTATATTTTCTTGATTTAAGGTCCAGCAACAGACATAGTACGTATGATGAAATATCTCTCTATTCTGATCCTTATTTTATGGGAGCAGTTATTGTTTTTTGATTGTGCTAAACCATATCGCAAATAAAGAGTTTTGGTTAGTGTATCGTTAAGGTCGTTTATAGTGGCGCCATCTCTTATTACCGAGTTGCGTTAAAATTTTAATTAAGACTCATAAGACTTAGGTATGTGTAGGTTATGTTTTGGAAATAAAATCTTTTGTTTTTTAATGAAATTGATTTATTTATTACAAGCGCTGCGTAAAGCTCGAAAAATAGTCTGTTTGGAAAACAGGTTCCGTAGATATGACATACTCTTAATATAAATTAAAAAAAATTATAATAAAATAAAAAGTACAATTGTTATGGTTTTAACGCGCTAAATAAAATCACAATAACAACAACTTAAAGGGGAAAACGCGCAGAGCACCAGGTTCATTTTTTTAATTTGCTTTCTTACGATTATATTTACAGCTCGCGTAAAAAAAAAAAACGTTAAATACTTGGTAGGAAGATGTTAGGTAACGAGTTTATACAAGGCGAACGGCAAAGGGCGCGAACTCAAACTTCGATCCTTTCGACTTAAAAAAAAAATTCTACCCTCGAGCCCCAAAGTCCCAAAAAAACGCGCCTTGCGCACCTTGCCGTACCATTTCATTCCTTCCGGTTCTGTTACCATTCGCTAAACTAAATTATATAAAAATGCACACAAATATAACAGCCAAACTTCCCCCCACTCCCCGACGGCGGCGCCGCCACCCAAATAGCGATAACCGTTGACCATTTGCTGCAGTTGGGATCATATTTCGAGGTTATGTTGGTAAAATTAGTTCAATTAAGCAAGGGCTATTAAACTTAACCTCTAAATCCTATTGAACGTTTTGAAAAGAAACCGTTCATATCAATCCAAAACATAGTGTCACATTTTTCGTAGTGTTTCTAGTGCCTGTGGAGGGTTTTATAACCAAAGGAGCAAGGGGAGATCGATTTTTCCCAATCGAAAGCATTCAGGGGAGAAAATTACCAAGACACCGTAGTAGTATTGCTATGGGCGCACTGCGCACACCATTCCCCCAACGACAACGACAACGACAAACGACATCAGAGTTTCAATATAAAATCTTTAATGAACTTCACACGAGGAGATGAAGACGGGAGATCCATTTCGCACCACTTAAAATCTGGAATACAGGGAAAGAGGATGAAGATGAAGAAGAAGAAGATTATCGCGATTCGGACGGCGCCCCCCGTCTTTCCATCGCCGCCATCTTATCCGTTTCTCGGTAAACGGTAAGAGACACACGGACGGATGTGTTATCTGCGAGGTCGCACCTACATTTACTAACTGATATGGCGAGTACAGCGCGTAACACCTAAACGATAGCATCCCCGATTTTAATCCGTCACGATCAGGGTGTCTTTCAACGCGCCCAGCTGCTCCTCGCCCAGCTTAATTTTGTCGTTTATCTCCTTGGAGTCCATGATCAGTTTCGCCTTCATGTTGATGAAATGGTCGTAATCGGCGTACTCTTCCGACGTCAGGTACTTGTACAGGATGTTTGAGACGCTGACGCTTCGCTTGTCGATGCATTCCTTCAGTTTTTTCGCCTCTTCGAGTTGGTCCTGGAGCTTGTCGCGTTTGCTCTCCAAGATACGCTGAAATTCGACATGAATTCTATGACGATCGGAGCAGCGCGTCGTACGTACCCGTTCAGGATGATCGTCCGACATGCCCATCAGTGCGTTTTCGGCCCGCGCCAGTCTGCCGGAGAGTCCCAGCAGCAAACTCGTAATCTTGCCCACTTCTTCGACGTGCAGCCTGAACTTGGATACCTCGTGCGGTCTGGCGACCCTAGTAATGTAGTTTTCCACGTTGGTGCCTAGGTCGTCGTTAATTCTACACTCGTCCGACACTATGAGAGCTTCGCTGCGCAGCACCTCCAGTTTCTTGTCCAAACGGCTCACCAGTTCCTCCTGAAAACACTCGTGTATGGACGCCGCCAAGCCCCGGAAATCGATCGCTTACCTTCTTTTGACTTAAATCTTTGGTATCTTTGACGATGTGGCATTGACTCATGTCCTGGCTGTACCTCGTTAAAAATTTGGCCTTGGGCTCCGAAGTCGTGTAGTACACCGACGAACCCGACAACGGACTGATCGCCTCCACGGCAGGAACTGATTTCGGTAAACTGAAATGGTTTGTAGCGCATTGTCACCCGACATCACAGATTGGATGTCATAACATAACATAACAGAAGCAATTATGCACTGTTGGGATGATTGCCAAATTTGACTAATAGGATTTACTGTACGAATGCTGCGAATATCTGGGATGGAACATCAGAGGTTCTGCAGCAAGTAGATAAACATAGAAACTTTCTCACGATAATCAAAGAGTACCCGGGATATCGCGAGATGGCTCGAACAGACGTGCGACAATAGCCATTTGGAACGCTGACCTTAGTAGGGAGACGACGTCGCAAGAAAAGGAAGAAGAAAAAGAAAACTTGTGGATCCCTCCTGCGTCGGGTGTTGTTGAATCGAACTTTCTGACGTTTCTTCAATCATCCCGTTGGCTTCTTCAGAGCTTAACAGTTTTAGTTAAGCTCTGAGGAAGCCAACAAGCCAACAAGTGAGCAAGTTTGATTTACGAACAACATACAGTAGCCTGTTTCTTTGAGAAAAAGAAGACTAATGAAATGAAAGGAGACGCTTGAAGAAAGATGGTGTAAAAATAAGACTACAAGCTAAGCGTGACAGCTTCCATATACATAAAACGATCAAAGACTTTATAAATTCGAATAAGTCGAATAAGGCGGTTACGCGATCAAAGGACAAAAAAGCTTTACAAAAAGCAGGGAGCTGATTAAGACCATTTAATGTAGGTCTAACAGTTTCGGCATTTTAGAAGTAGTATCCGAGTGTTAGTTCAAAGGTGCCGAGAAGTTTGACAAAGTACCGCACAAAAGGCTCATTTATGGAAATTCTAAAAGATGTGGGATTTGAAAGTTGAGATCTTCAGATAATTGTGAAGCTTTACTATCCTTGTTATCGTACCATTGATAATCTGGCTCGCATTATACTCTATACTTGCTTATATCTTGTTTGAGTAGCTAGAGGAGGGGCATGAACGTCGCCTTGGATGATTGTTTGGTTGCTTATAGATTTCTATAGATTCTCGTTAGTAGAAAAATTAATTACTTAAAAGAATATTCTTACTAATAATTTGCATGTTAGATATATTAGGCGTTAAATCACAAAATATACTTCAGCATAATCTTTTAAAGGCACTGAGTCGGAAAGCAACCCCACAGTTGCCACTATTGTAATGCCTGACATTCAAAATACCAGTGGCCATCTATCAAAAGTTCTCAATAAATATGACGTCAAAAACCAGAGTTACCACTTGTCCAAAAATCTTTCAATATCTTCGATTCATCAAAGACAGAGTGCCGTTTGAGATACTGGAAGTTTAGAGCACCACATGCATACGCGGTAAAGAATCCCATTACACAACCTGACGAAAAATATCAATATCAAAACCGGAGACGAAATTTTATACGAGAATCTATAAAAATCTACAAGCAACCATACAATCTTAACCGCGACTCAGTTCAATATTAGAATCAGTCATGCGTGATAACGTTGATGTCCCTTCTCTACCTCCGCCCCTATAAACTCAAATATGGACTCCAACTGAACATCAAACAAACCAAATGGATTCCGAAGCTTCGAGGCCATCTTCACAGTAAAAAGCGTAAGAATATCGTTACTAAAAAACTTGCGACAATGGTGTGGTGAAGAAGCAGTGATGATTGTCAAAGTTCAGAGAACAAATCACTTGAAGAAGGTCTCACCTTAACTTACTAACTGACACTTTGGAAGTGTTTACGGGAGGCGGACTGCTGCTCGGAGTGTTGTTTCTGCTTCTGAACGGCGAGTTAGCGGGTCTCGGTTTCAACGTCACGTCCAATCGAAACAGACCTTGGACGTAATCGGTCGGCTTCTTGTGGTCTGGTCCGGGAACTAAAAGATCTTTGAGCCTATCTGAGGTGGGCAGGTGATTGACGAAATCCTCGGAGAGTCTTTCGCACTCGATCTCCTCTTGCGATTTCTTCCGGGCCGGAAGAGGCGTCGGCGGCAGTTCTTCCTTTTCCGTTTGCGAGGACGCGTCGCTCGTGGACGTGTTCACCCTTAACACCACCTCCGTTCTTTGGATCATTTGGAGTCCTTCGATCACCTTGGGATATTCGGGCGGAGGAGATTCCGACTTCGGCTCAGATTGTTGCAACAGGGCTGAAGAGGTGTATTGCGGCCGCGCGTTGACCGGCGGAGAAAGGGTCGGTTTTATATGGGGCGAAGCCCTCGGTGGGGACGCCTGCGCGGTCTGCTTGGTCGGATTGGATTTGATCGCGACGGGTGACGATTGCACGATAAAACTCGTCGTCCTCAGCGGAGCGAACGGCGAACTCCTCGGTGACGTCGACGCAGGCGACGTGTTTTTGCCCACGTCCGCGCCTAGCGGCGACAAACTCAACTGCGTCGGCCTGTTGTACTGATGATGAGATCGCGGCAGCATCTTGACGTTTACCGGCAAAACGTCCGGTAACGCGAGGCTCGGTTTTTTCGTGTCGTCCTCTTTCGGTTTTACATTCACCGAAGACCTCCTCGGCACCACGTTGCCGCTCTCAGAGCTCTTGGAGCAGCTCCGCGCCAACGGCCAAATGGTCTCACGGCTCTTCACCTTTTGCGGCTCGGGAAGCACCGTTTCTGCGACGAGGGCGTGGCCGTTGGGCGACATCGTCCTCTTGTAGCTCCCCGTTTCCGAATCGGTGACGATGCGATCGCGATCGCGACGAGACGCCAAATAGGACGCCTTTGATTGGCTCCTGGAAGAACAGGGAAGATGTGTAAGAGGTACGACGATGGTTAAATTAGAACAAAAATTAAATTTTATAAAACCCGTATACTTATTGTATAAGGGTTCCATAATAATGCATATAACTAGTAGTATCAACGTTATAAAATATTTACTCAACCGTTTCCTTAGTAAAGCAGTTCATTGCTGTGTAATAATTGTTTTATAGCGTTGGTATGCGCTGCATTCGTAACCACTTTGGTTACTATACCACCTTCTTCTTTATAAATGCCGATAAAACAGAGATCTGCTTTATAACACTAAGATATTTACTGAATTCTCAGTGAAAAAAAAAAAAAAAACGAAGTGGCAATTTTAAAAGAGATTGTAAGAGAAAATATCGGGAAATTCAGAGCAATTAATGCTAAGATTTTAAATTCTACTTACGGTGGAAGTAGACGTGGATAACACAGAACATCGTTCCTTCAATCACACAAGAGAAACCACACTATAAATATTATAGGTATGGATGTCCAAAATCTGGAATCTAATTTTTTCAATAATAAAAATAATGATAAAGAAAAAAAAAGTAAAATTTGAAAGCGGCTTATTACTGTTACACTTTCAGCATTAAGGGAGCTTCTGCTATCGATATAAACCCCTGTCTTTTTATCCTACATGGTATCTGGATGTAATGTCGATACCTAGGGATTGTCTATTTCATGCAACACAATTAAACGTTCACATATCAGGATATGTCTTATCTTATACCACCATCGCCTGTAGAGGGCGCGTCGGTACGCCTTCTTGAACTTTTTCAGATATGGTTGTCACGTTCACCTAAAAGCCGTATAGTGGGAAGAAGATTTTATATATTTTATTGTTTACACATTTATTTTGACCATAAATTCTAGAAAGGTTGGTTCAGTTACTTAATATTTATTTCGTATTTGTACGCGAAATTTTGACTGAACAAAATTTGTATAAGTCGTCGGGATGATTTCCTACATGTTACATTAAATATATTTCTACTGTATTCTCCTTAATTTATGAAAATTATAATATCTCTTGAGTCAAACAGCAAGGCATTTTTAAAATTGTTGAATTTTTTGCAAACACTGATAATAATTTATCTGTGCTAATATAGAGGTACATTATACAATCTGATGATGAAAGTTTACGAAAAGAGTAAAATACTCAGTCTCGTAAAATTGTATTTTAAGTTTATTGTTTTACACGGTAAAAAAGTATATATAGCATATAGCAAGAGATGTCTTATGATATGATATCCATCGCTAAAGGATGTTTAGAAATACGACGATGGTTAAATTAGAAAAAACGTCGCAAAAACGAAATTTCCCAAATTTCAACATAAACATTTTAAGCAAGTTTAGTTTCGAGGGAGTTGATTTTTTAATTCTCCCAACTACACATTATTAACTTCATATCTTTAATTTTTTTTGGATCCGCCGGCATGACAAAACATGTCTCAGAACCCCGACCGCGTATCTATTCACATCAACTGAAAAAACTTGGTGACGGAATGCCTTACGTCGAGGCCGACATTTCCAGGTTGCGTAAGTGGACGCGATTTAAATAATATGCAGACGGGAAGACGCTTTTTCGCTTGTTTTTCTTGCGACAAATTGATCGTCGTTAAATTGCGAGCCTCCACGATCCAGGTGTTAAATTTGCTTATGCTAGCAATCGTCTTCGATTTATTTTAACGACTTACCCAGATAAGTTTTAATATTTACGATGCGAATAGTTCGAGCGTAACGGTATTGGTTGATATATGTGGAAAAAGAAGGACCGCGCTTACGTGGGCGACTTCATCGAACGTTTTACAGAGAGATTTTCCTACATTCCTTTGGGAAAATGTGATTTCGGGAGTTATATAACGTTAAATCTTAAAGCTAAAGACAATTTACAAACAAGTTGGATTTTTTGTACTCTAAAATACTCAATTATGGCTTCATTACTCATGTTCGCCAGCTTGTTTATGGATACTTTCATAACACTCAGTTGAGAAAATAATTTATTTTGATCCGATCTTAGAATTGCCTGCTTCGTTTTTCTGTGTAAACAAGCATAATTGATTAAAAATTCGAGGAGCGTCGGATTAAAATTCTTCAGCTAAATTATGAAATAAATAGATTTGTAACACAAAACTGCAATGTTTATGTAAACTTAACGAGAGGAAAACAATTATGAAAAAATAACCGTTTTGCAAAAACGAATCGTGTGCATAATAAAGGACCCGTCTTTTCGAATCGCGCTGTATATCGCGAGACACGCAAATCGATTTTCAATCACACGATTTAATTATAACTTTCTACGCAGTGGGTGATTTCCTGATTGAAACTCATTGCGAGCGCGAGAGAGAAAAAAAAAACGGGTCGCTTTCGTGACCTTGAATGTCCTAAATTGTAACGAGAAATGTTTTTTTGGTTAATTTCGGGATTTCTCAAAGTTGGGTTCGCGTTTGCCCGTTTTGGTTAGGGCAACTGTGTTCCACTCGTTTCACACGAGGCATTTTCGCTAAAAGGTTGGAAATGAAATGAAAAAAAGGGTTTAGTTATTTTTCTCAACGATGATTATTTTCAATTCGTTTTCAATCTACATGCACACCATACCTAAATGAACTTGCCGCTTGAACATATTCATATACACGCATATTTGAGATGACATACGAAAAAGTAAATAGTATCAGGACATTTATGTTGGCGCTGTAAGTTTTAGTTCAGCTTATTGTGATGTTATTTGTTTAACATTGGTATAACCGTAGTTTATTTTTAGACATGGATGCCATTTCGGTAGAAATGTTAAAATTCTGCGCGGCTGCGGGAATGACTAACCGAGTTTCGAAACGCTGTGGGAACATTTTTTTGTCTCGAATTACACAATGAGATTGTCGTTCGTATGGCGGCATCGGCGATTTTATCGTAGAAGAGTACGTCGATGTATACGTTGTAAGTCCTTTGTCGGTTCGATGGCGCGTTCCTTATTTTTAAGGTGCAATTAATATCGCGTTTGATCGTTAAATAACATAACCAAAGACACCTAGAAGAGATCTCACAACATCATAATTAACATATTAACACGCGTAAACGTTGACGAAAACGTTCGCCACAATTAACACATCAGCAGATTCGTAAACATAATAAATAACGGATGAGCATAAGATTATGGAAATCGCCCATGCAACGGCCATCTCGCGGAGACGGCCTAATTGATAAGCATAAAAAAGGTGTTAATTATACGATACGAGGAAGGTATTTCCTGTTTTTTAGCCTTATCGTTTTCGACTTAGTGTTACGTCACGTTTGAGTGAAATTTTTATTGAGAATTTGAGAGTTGAACTTCCGCGCTGCAACAAACAAAGGACCTATCAACTTACTTTTTATTGCAAATGCAAACGAAAAGTTATTCAATCAATTTTTTATCATCTCACCAAAAGGTTTTCTTTAACCGCTATGTTAGTCAATAGACAATGACAGTTTTGTACAGTCTACTACTACTGACTACTAACCAAGGTTGTTCTGAGAGGGGACATCATCTTCTTGAATCGTTAGTACTCTGAGCTAAATGCTTTTTATGACGAACTGAGACAAATTTTGATTTTTCACCATATCTTTATTTTTAAATGCACATTTATTTATTGACATTATTTTAAATACTTTTACAATAATTTGCATCTCAAAGAAGTTGAAAAAAAAAGTCGTAGTAATACTGCAGATGTGAAAATCTTTGGGTGTCACACCCACGTTTAGCAAATATGAGACGGTAAGCACATTCCTTTCATTTTTTTGTCGTTAAAACTGACACGATAAAATTATCTTATTATTCGAAATATATTAATGTATTTTTGCTCATTTCTTTTTTTATTCGTGGTTAAGTCTACTCAGAACATGTAAATTCCAATTCTTATCCTTTAAAATTTTGGTAGCAAAAATATTGTTTGACGGAATTTTCTCGCTCCATAGGTGTATATCAGGTTTTCTGATAAAAAAGTTGACTAGGTTAATAAGTTCGTTTGGCATACTTTACGATAGTTATAGCGCGCTTTGTGTAGTGTGGCCTTGCTCGTTTTGCCACGAATACGCGTTTAAACAGACTATTTATTATAAATAACATAAATTAAAATTACACTTTTGTAACGCGCTATTGGGGTCTAGGGTGTGCGATGATTAAATGGTTAAATACTACGTGCGACCGCAAAATTAATAAATTCTCGGCAATTAAATGCAACCGCGCCGCGAGCATCGAATTACAAAAATTGCGTTAATGCGATTGCCTAATGCTTGTTGTGCAGTAGCAAAGTTGTAGTACTAAAACGGCGGAACGATTAATGAAATTCTCACCTTCAGTGTTTAAATTATTATTATTATTGGAAACTTCGGAATTAGTTACGGGCGTGATGTACTGCCAAAAGTTCGAAAAAAAGCCTTTTTTATTAATATTTAAATAACTCTTATTTAATGTTTTTTAAATTTGTTTCGAAATTATCTCTTGAGCTTATTCATGTGCAATAGCGTCGCAAGCGGCAAATTTTACAAAGCTGCGTTTTCGATAATGGACTCACCGAATATTTCTTATAGGAAAATCGCAAAGGTGGGCGTCACGTAGAGAAACTCGGGAGTCATGTGAACTATAAAAAGGTCTTCCCTCCAAATTGATGTGATTTTGAGGCACGCAAGGGGCTCACTTATGGTGAGCTGACGATACAAAAGTCGGATCTACGTGCACGGGATAGGAGTACTTGGGGACTCTCCCCGAGGGAGGGGTCCATCTTGTAATATTTTATTATGGCCCTTTGCGTTTTTAATAATTTCTTTTGTTTTGCGCTCTTAATAGTTTCCTCTGTCTTTTGCGTTTTTAAGCATTTCCTCTGTCTTTTGCGTTTTTAAGAATTTCCTCTGTCCTTTGCCTTTTTAATAATTTCCTCTGTCTTTTGCGTTTTTAATAATTTCCTCTATCTTTTGCGTATTTAATAATTTCCTCTGTCCTTTGCGTTTTTAATAGTTTCTT